CTTGAAAAGGTTAAGAACCACTGATCTAATATATTACTTTTTTGCAATTTTTTATCGATATCGACTGCAATATCGGCAGTATGTCGGTATTGCAGATAAAGTTCGATAAACAAATTTGTAAATTAAAATCCATATTAATAAAAATGTAAAAAAATTTTAGCATATATTTTGAAAAGAGGGAAGGGCCCAAAAACGGCTATGCCTAGGGCCTACGAAAGGTATAATCCGGCTCTGCACATCATGAAAATTACTCGTAAGATAAATGCCAAAACTAATCTAAGAAACTATCGTCCAACACTTCGGCGTTTACCACTGTTTTACCTTCATTTATGCACTTTGCTTAATGTTGTTTTTCGAAGCTCTGTCGTCAAAGAAAATAAAAGAGCTATAGTTTAAGTTTATAATCTCGCCTTGTAGAATTATCTGAACTTTATTAGAAGAGATAAATAACTTAAATATTTTTAAAGTTATTAAAATCGCCAATTCGGCGACATTTATCTACTTAGAGGAAAATTATCTAAGTCACTGCCTTATTCTCAGTTTTTGTAAATTTTTATGAGCCCAGGTAAGGCAGCATTGGAATAAGTTTTTAAATATTATTTGTTGTTGTTAATTTACGTCGCACTAAAGCTGCACAATGGGGTATTGGCGACGGTCTGGAAAACATCCCGGAGGATGATCCGAAGACATGCCATCACAATTTTGATCCTCCGTGGAGGGGATGGTACCCCCGCTTCGGTAGCCTGACGACCTGAGCGCGAAGTCGAGCACTTTACGGTAGCACAGTTTAACGAGGACCAATACCGCACACCCTCGGTCCCTACGCAGACTGATACACTGACCGCAGCCAGTGATGCTTGACTTCGGTGATCTGCTGGGAACCGTGTCTTAACGATCAGTCCACTGCGGGACTTTTAAATATTAAAAAATTAGACCCCAAACGCTTTTCATTTTAACAAAACTGTGGTCTTTCTCCATATTGACGTTTTGCGCCATTTTCAAAATAAGCGTAGACAGCGCTGGCTTAGGCTAAACTGGACTTAACAGTCATGAATAACAGTTACAAACTCCAAGCAGTTATAAAAATAGCATATTATTCGCAAAAAAGCATCATTTTCTATTACGACGGAGCCATTGAAAAGTCGTCAAAAAATGTAGACCTTCTCCAACTGTTTTTTTAAAAAAAATTTTTTTATGTCTTAGTTGGGAAAAAGCTCCTTACATTACTTCTAGCTCACTGCTTTAAATTAATAAATTGTTTTGAATTGGGGAAAAAACATTAAAATTTACAATACTTTTCACCTAACATATCTAATAATTCAACATAAAAAGTAATAACTAATCTAAGACTGAAACTGTTACACATTGAGCCAATTATAGAGTATACAATTAATTTAGAAATAAATTAAAATAAAACTCAATAGAAATGTCAAAGATGACGTCAATTCACATACCTGCACACTGATAATCCATGAAATGATCAGTTAGATTGCAACCAATAGGAATACGTTTCTATTGGAATGGGAATACATTTGCGTTACGTGGAGGATAAAACCATGAAAACCTACCACGGTAAATTCGACGGCAATGGGAATCTAAAAAAAAATTAAAAAAAAAAAATGAACCATCTGCCACTGAGTGTATTTTACGGCAGGACCGTGGTAGGTACAAGTAGAATTTTTATCAATCAGCCACCGCTCGGATTAGAATTAATTAATCATTGATAAATTTTCAGTTGGCAGGTAAGCGAATTAATGTCAGCATTATAGACATTTCTATAGTAGGGGAGAGGGGGGCACATGTGAACATGGTATGTTTTACCAATATGATTTGAAATAAAAAATCTTCAATTGATGGCAGTACTAGTCCTACCTCTCTGCGAAACTTTCAGTACAATGAGACATTTTGTTGTTCTATTCTGACAATTTCTTTGTATCAGCTGGTGTTGTATATATTATAATCACTAGCTTCTTCAAGTGAAAGCATAGTATAAATCAACTAATAAACTAAATTTAACTATTGCAGACCATTATATGAACATTCAGGTAAGTTTATGACAATTAATTTTTTTTTTACTCAATTAAAAGTTCTTTATTTTTCAAGTAATGTTTAAGAAGGATGATGGGGCACTTGTGAACAAATCATCTGATCAATCAAATCAGTTCACATGTGCCCCAACATAGTATTAATATTATTATCCTCATGATATTATAAGTTTAAAAAATATGTATGCATTTAAAATCATTATTATTTAATTTATTCTTTAAAAGAATTTTTTTTTTATTAAATGGTTGATCGCGCATATTAACTGATACACCTGAGAAAGATAGAATTGCTAAACTACAGATGAAAAGATAGAAAAATGAAAAAAAAGCATGAAAGAGTATCAGAGAAGAAAGAAAAATGAAAAAAAAGCATGAAAGAGTATCAGAGAAGAAAGAAAAAGGCCCATTACAACTCCTGAGGAACATGAAGTTGCGAAAAACCCCAAGTGAAAAAATTATTGTACAGCTGAAATTTTTTTTCCTTATTGACAGTACTGTTGTACAGTTTAAATTCGCATAGTAAGCTACAACCCCTTCAGTATAATACGTATCTATATCTGTCATATTAAAGATTTTTTTCCCTTGAAATATGATGATTGCTTTGTGTTTTTAATCTTGTTCATATGTGCCCCCAATAGGGGCACATGTGAACAACTGAAGTCATTTTTCTAAAATATCATAAAGTAAAAAAATATTTTATTAAAAAATCTCAAAAAATTCCATAAGACAAAGAAAAGACTAATTAAACATATGAACTTCCTTACAGTGAGAAATTTATGATATTTTTCGAAAAATGAAGAAATAAAAAAAAATTGTTCACATGTGCCCCCCTCTCCCCTATACATATTTTTTTAACACTGATCATGAAGTGCCATTTAAAGTTTTAAGAAATTTTATTTATTACTATTAACTAATGCTTTTCAAAAAAATAAAATGGGTTGTTATATTAGTTAAGGAAAAATAACGCTTAATATTTTTTAGAATTTTCCTCAAAACTTAAAAGCAATAAAAATGTGTTATTTGTGGCTTTAGGTCAATCAATTAAAACTACAAATATGCTAATTTTTAGATATTTTAAAACTTAAATTTTAATGCATTTCAAACTTATGAATTATGATGATGCTAAACAATTCCTATAATGTAAATGCACAGAAACAGATATTTATCGAAAATTTAAAAACAAATGTATATTTANTTTTTAGAATTTTCCTCAAAACTTAAAAGCAATAAAAATGTGTTATTTGTGGCTTTAGGTCAGTCAACTAAAATATGCTAATTTTTAGATATTTTAAATAATGCATTTCAAACTGATGAAATCCGATTCTGATGATGCTAAAAAATTCCTATAATGTAAATGCACAGAAACAGATATTTATCGAAAATTTAAAAACAAATGTATATTTATTATTAAACTCAGCACTCGTTTTATCATAAGGTCTTAGAAGCGGAAACCCCCTAAACGTTACAAATAATTTATTGTATTTTTCTATTAGAATTAAGAGTTAACAAAAATTGAAATAAATGTAAGCTCAAATTTGCCTAATATATCATAGTTTACTCAAGTTAAAAATAATGCAAAAATACATGCATTGTAATACACATGTAAAAAATACCTATAATTACATAATTAAACATGTAAATTTGGGTCGATGTAACGACCCTCGCATTTCTCGATCAAGTTCTGATTAAACTAATTTTTAAAAAACAGCTGATTGCGGAACTGTATTAGTGCAATTCCGTAAGAAAATTATACCGCACACTTTATACCTCAAATTCAGATTAGGCGACAGCCTTGTGTTCCATATTCCTTCTGTCTGTGGAACCCTAAAAGACAGCATCGGACTAAACAAAATTATGAGAAAAAAAAAAAAATCTTTTTTTAAATGTTTTCCCTGCTTGCATGAACGGTTTACTTTAAATATGAGAGGCAATTTTCAGATTTTAAAATATTTTTATTAACCCTTAAAAATAACTATTTTATTATTTCAGTAAGAAAACCAATGGGAAAAAGTTAGTTTTTCGATAGCGACATCTGTGCCAGACCATGAACAAAAGGCAATTTAAAAATTGTAACACTCACTGGGTCAAATATACAGCATAAGGCTATACTTAGGATTTTTGTAATGTGGCTAAAAATCCCACTTTAATCAAATTTAAATTTCTGATTTTAATGTTGAAAAGTGCTACTAAGTTTCTGGACTTTCAAGAAACAAGCTTTATCACATTTTTTCTTGCACCATTTAGAAACACCTTAAAAATTACTAAAACACTTAGCACTCAAAAAAGAAACAGTGGAATATTACCGAAATTAGCTATTTTAATAATAGATTTCCCCCTTAAATGATGGTTTATTGTTTGGATAAAAATTTAATAATAGGTATAAAATTGTAAACCCCATTAAAGTTGCTGATCTAAGAAATCAACGGTATTACCGATAGCTGACTGTCACTAACTCCAATTTTTTTCCCTTGTGTTCTTATTTTTAGATCCCAAATTAATTCCTTCTATAATTATTTCCTACAATTAAGAAATGAATTTAGTCTTAACAAATAAATTCTATTTTTTTAACAATTAAAATTTGGAATGCATTAACACTAGAAAGACTGATGGGGTTATTCTTGCTTTCTGTTGCTCTGAAATTCAAAAAACATACAGAAACTAGTGTATATTTCCGACGTATCAGAATTTGATCCAGTTAAGGGTTTATTTAATCATTCATGTGTTAGCCTAATAGGAACGTATATATAGAATAAGCCAAGTAATTCGTATGCCTAGAAGGACCCTACAATGGTACCATATAACCAAAGGTAGGTTTGATAGATAGGGTCTCATTACCTAGGCTAATAATAATTAAAAATAGTGTTGTGAGCAGGTGTTTATATAGCTGCATATTTATCCCTAAACTTAAGATTAAAATAACAATTATGAAAAATGCTTAGAAATAAAATAACAATATCTATAAGAATCAACTTTATTTACAAATATCAATACCAGCTAGGTATTTTTTTCTTCTTCCTAGTTCGTGATTCATTGGAAATGACAGCAAACAATACTGTAACCGATAATAAAAAAGTACAATCAAAATATACATTTGTTGGTATAAAGTAATATTTCCTGTTAGAAACAATAGTTCATAAAAAAAAATCAAAATCTAGGTATCATGAAAAAGAGAAAAAAAAGACAGTAAAATTAATGGGGCACCAAATATTTCATTTAGGCAAGCAATGGGAGAGAAAACTTCATAAAATTCGAAAAGGCTGAATAAATAATTAAAGTTGTAATGTGAATGCAAATACTCTAACCTTCATGATTAACACAACAAAAGTAACTAGGTTCAATTAAAAAAGATTTTGTATATTAAAAAAAAAGAAAGGCTAAATAAGTTAGGAAAAAAAACAATATAATTCATCATTAAAAGGATATGAAATGAGTAAGTGCCATTCGTTAATTTAATATAACTACAAATCAACTATATTTAGAGAGAATGTGTACTAGGTAAAATGTTTTACCTAATTTTAACTTAGTACTTAAAAGATCAATGTCTTAAACATTTTTAGTTAACACAACAGGATTGTAGTCATTTCTTAACAATGCAAAAAATGCTCAAAATTAAAGAAAACAATTTTAATTTTTCTTAAATACAAAAACTAAAGATGATGAAAAGGTGGTAGAAAATCATGTTTTGTTGGTTAACAATTCACTTGCAAGCATGAGAGACACAAATTCAAAATAAATACAACCACACATGGTGCAGTTAAAATGAGGTAATTTCTTCAAATAAATCCTGATTTGGACAGATTTGTATACAAATTTTTTCTTTACACTTCTGTACATGCTTATGCTATTTACATATGATTAATTAATCTACTAAAAAAAATTCTAAAGTTATCACATTATCTCCTCTTTTTCTCTCTGGAATGGTGGTTCTCTTTAACCTTTTCTCTACGATTTTTATGAGATTTCTCGTGCAATGAGTTTGTGTGATGATGGTTGCGTTCATGTGACCTGGAACGAGAACGTGCATGATGAGATTTATCAGAATGCTTGTTTTTGTAGGATTTTTTCCCACTACTGCTATGCTTAGTTGGCGAGTATTCAGGAGATAGACTGTGTTTGCGCTTGTGGGATCTGTGCTTTGCCTTCTTTGAACTCCTGGTTTTTGATCTCGATCGGGATCTAGATCGATGAGAATCTTTAAAGCCCCTAGGAGGTGTCTTTTGCTTTCTTTTCGGACTAGAGCTATGACTGCTCCCACCACTACCTGATGAGCTGGTTTTACTGCGTTTCTTATTAGGCTCGGGACTTTGATAATTATCATCCAGGGGTGAAACGCTACGGCGTTTTCTGTGGTTAGAATCTCTGTGGTACCTATAAGTTAACCATAACATTACACTAGAGAATATAATAAAATATTTTTTTCAAATCATAAATTTAAAAATTAATTGAGCAGAGTAAAGAATTAATAGATACCTAGGGCTTGTGTCATTATGTTTTCCATCACTTCTATCTTTTTTGGAATCACTACTGGGAGATTTTACGCCATTTCTAGGTGAACCTAACAAAAAAAAAAGAAAAAATATATATAATTATACTCATTAGGAACTAAAGCCTGGAGCTTCATAGATATCTTTAAATGTAATTCTTTGATAAAAAATAGTGTACTTAAAATAATGGCCTATCCACATAATACCGAAGAGTATTCTTTGTCTTCGGAAATTCACTTAAAATTTATAGCTTGTAAGAAAGACTACTCAAAAAAAGATAGGGAAATAATATTCTTTGCAATTTGTCCTCTTTTCGTGCATCTGTTCCTTGTAATTAGGAATTCAGTTTTTAACTATAATTTTATGTTTTGTATGCATGTTCCATGATATATTTACTGATTATTGCCAATGCTCAACAAAAGGAAAAGTATTTCTCATGACGATGTCCTCCTGGAATTTTTCAAAGTGGATTCAATATAAGCCGGCACCTTCCATATAGCTTTTGAAAACTTAAAAAATTATTGGCTTATACTTAGAAATATATATTAGACAACATTGTAATGACCCTTTGCCTTTTTATTAGGTGCACCATAGAATCCACAACACAGTATAAGAAGTATGCCTGGCAAGTACCAGTTGGGTAAAAGAAAATATATTGTATTTTGAGTAGAAAGGCAGCTTAGTGGTGCAATTAACATTTAGCCAACTAGAGCATGTCCCCCTTATCAGGTATAAATAAAACTCAAATATATTTTTTACAATTGCAAATGTAGTTATTATGCTAAAATACATGTCAAACAGATTTTATTACAGTGAAGCACATATTAAGATTTTTAATTTCTCTCAAGTTGCTACCCGGAAGTTATAGTAATGCTTTTATATTGTTGAAAAAAATTCACAGAATTCTGCAAGTTTTAGTTTTAATTATCAATCTCTTGATCAAACATCAACTTTACATTGTTTAATAGTTGTGGCAATTTTTTTAAACGTGTAATTTCAGTAAGCCATTCTTTACGAACTGGAATATAACTTTATTTTCACATGTTAGCAAATAAAATAAAAAGCTTCCAAAATCACACGTTTCAAAATTTGTGCATGTGACACACGGTTAAATCAAGGCTAATACCAAACAATATTTCCTTTTCACTATTGGTTTTCCAACACCATACTTGGATTTTATAATCCAATTACAGGAGAGGGGTAAATAAGGACAAGATCTTTTTCTAAATTTAGATCCAACTCAAACTTTAAACTACTCTACAATAAAATAAAAAAAGGCTCAAATTTCTAACATTTCACATTAAGCTTTTTTTTTCCGCAAGAAAATCAAAAACTTAACCTTATCATAGAAACCCTGATTTTAGGAAAGCAGGAAAGATTATTTTCTGAAAATTACTCCAAGAAAATCAAAAACTTAACCTTATAGAAACCCTGATTTTTTCTAAAAATATAAAATAAGCTATAGCGCCTAGTGTTTCACACTCCAACCTAAGAGAATTTAGTATAGCTATTAATAAATATAATGGTTGTAATCATTTATGTTTACCCATAAGAGATGCAGCAGGTGAGCTATTTGGCAGGTTGTTTAATTGAGCTAACCCTTTGGCTTTAAGTTTGGCATCCATATGAGACTTTTTCAATTCTTCAACTATTTTCTCTAACTTCTCAGGATCAGGCTGTAAAATAATACATTATTAAAAAAAATAATTCTTACATAAAAAAAATCAACAAAACAATTGATTTAGTTAACTTTTCCTTTGATATTAGTTTATTACCTTCTTTCGAGTGTAGAGAAACAATATAGAGCCGCATATATCACTTATGTTTTCTTCTGAAACTCCAAAGACTAAGTACCAGGCTGGTTTGTTTGGCAATGGAATCTAAAAAATCAAAACAATAAATAATTATAGTAACACAATGCATAATTGAAGACCCATAATTATGCATTGACAAGAGGAAAAAAAAAGATCATGCCTTCCTCCTTCTATTAATGACACGCTCATCTACCAGAACAAGTGATTACAGCTACAGTAAATTAGTTTTACAGATAAAACATGAATTTCTAGGTTTGTATTAAGTTTTTGCAACCACCTTAGCCTTAATTTTAATGTAGCCAGTTCTTTTCTTCTTTTCTTTAAAAAGCAACTTCAGAGATCTTAAAAGAACTAAATTTTTTCCCTTATTGTTAAAAGTTGTTCATATACATACTTAAAATTAACATATTTGTGGAGTTCAAAATTATTAGTTACCAAATTTAAAAACGTTGTTAAATGTATTTTTCAGAATTTTAAATAAAAATGACACATATGCATACAAAATAAACTATTTTTTAAGATTAATAATTTTGATCACACTGAATTAATAAAGTTGAGAATAAGCAAACAAAGATTAATTTCATATTGCAAATATAAATTAGTGAATGGCATTCAAATTATTATTAATCTATAATTCAGTTCTAGGTTCAGCAATTTTTCTTAATCAAATGATGAGTATTGCAGCTAAACATATTTTCCACAAGTACATTAAATCAAATGATTAAGAGATTAATGATTTTTTGATTAGATTAATGAACACAAAATAACTAAAATGTATTTTTAAAATTCATAAAAATACTAAAATATGAAACTTGCTTATGATTCAATAAATAAACCCAAAGAAGTAATGTGTCACTAATTATGCCTTGCTATTTATGAAATATTGACATAAAATGAGAATTTATTAATTACCTGTAATAATCTAGCACTGAGATGAATACAGCTACAGGCTATTGCTTCTGGATCATATCTTAGAAACACATTTGTGCGAAGGCTATCATTCATGTAATTCCTATAAGAAAGAAAAATTAGTAAAAAAAGAAAACAAGAAACTTTAAGAAGTTCACTCAAGACGATAGATTCAGGGGTACTTAGATAGGAGGACACAGGAGGTTGTTCAGATCCCCCAAAGATTTTCACTATTCGGAAAATTCTGATAGGCCATTCGGCATATTTACAAAAATTCCTTTTCTCTTACATTTTATCAGAAAACAAATTAACCTATATATTAACATACAGCAGAAGTATATCAGGCATCCATTTCACGATTCTAAAATTTTTAACAAATTTAACTTCTCCTTGCCATTGAAAAGCCCATTTTTCAAACATAACAATTGTCATGGAGCTCTTATTTTTGAATAAGAATGATCCAGACTCACTCTTTTGAGATGAAAGCTAAAAGGCCTAGTAGCTTTGGTTAGTAATGTTGCATGAAGTTAAAGAAATATATAAAAACAATTGCATAGTGCAGATACTGTTCATTTTTAAATGCATAAAAATTTCTATGATTAAAAGACTGTAAAAAACATAAAGTTGATAGTTAACTTGTGGAAGCACTTGATTATTTCTCGTCAATTAAAAGAAAGTTACTACCACTGTCACTTTTCTATTCCAGAAAATATTCGCCAAATATGCCAGAATATTTCCAGAAAACTCTATTTGTTACCAAAATGTTTTTGATGGATATTTTCCCTTTTTTTGTGTGCAGAAACACTTTTATGTCTTTAATGGACAACTCTTCAATTTTGAATAACTTTTCATTAAGTAAAAAAATTATTTTGTCAGTTATTCAGATTTTAAGAAAAATTTATTCATGTGAAATTATAATTTATAGCTTTGCACTCTTAAGACTGAGGGTAAACAAAAGCGTTGACTCCTTTTTAATATTTCAAATTTAAAAGATGTTAAAAAAAAAAATGCAGAATTCTGAGAGGTTAAAAATAAAATTTTTTTAATACTTATTTTGGACGTATCAACTGTTAAATGCTCTCCTTTCTCTTTACTTATTTCCCAAACGGTTAATTTATTTTACTTATTAACTAGAATAATTAAATGTATAATCATCAAATCAGCAACTTGAAAATATAAGCAACAAAATATTTTTTTAAGTCAATGAATTGCATCCTTACATGTATACTTTATTGTAGAAGCGGTATGCCTTTTTTCACAATGATTATAGCTAATCTATCTCCCTAACTGTTAAACTTGATTTTATTAGAAATTAGACTTTAAGCAAAAAGTAATTTCTTCAGCACCTAAACCACATCATTGATAATGAATAATTGCAAGCACTCATTTAAGAATCGGTTTAACTGGAATTTCATTTGGCAAAATTGGAATGTATCATCCCAATAATATAAGTGTGCGACGGACTCCCTCGCATAGACTATGAGAACTAAAGCTTAATTTAAATTGTCGCATGAGAACACTGCCTTCAAAATGTTTAAATCTGACAAATCTACATGCCTAAAAAATGCAAAATTTAATAATTTTAAGCTGATAAATATATGAAGCATATGCAAAGAAAAACATTTATGATAAAAACTTCATTTACTTCCTAATCCACAGAAAGTGCTATTGTAGATATAAAAACCAGGGTTTGAAAAACTCAGACTTTTAATTTTAAATCTTTAATTCTTTTTACTGCCACTGAAGTAGAAATTTTGGAGTATAATTTGTTGTCTTTATCTGTATGTAATGATTTGAGAAATTGTGATAAGTAATAAATAATAATTTATGTGAAGGCCATCTAAATCCATAATAATAACCAACCAAAATACATTAAGCAATAGATTTCAAAAGGTTATAGAGGACAGAAAATTGCCTCAATTCCATGTTAATTTAATGAAAAATAGAATATGATCAAAATCACTTTATTTAGGTTATTAGGACCAATGGAATATATTGAATAGGAAAGAAATTTATTCACTTAGTAACTAAGAAATGTTGTTCTTATTTTCTTTAAGTTAGCATAAAGAATCCAGATTTGATTGATCTTTGAAAAATTTAAACAATCCATATCCTATGCTTGAAATCATGTTTATTACTCAATATATGCACCAATTGGCAGTACCAAAAAATTTCTAATATGTTAAGATAGTTTATTTTAAACCAGATGTCAATATTCATAAAAACAAGTAAACTTGAAAAATAGGCACTTTTACTTCAAAATGTGCCCATTACAGAGTTAACATGTCCAGATAAATAAAAATCTGACGCTTATTGTTGATGCATTATGTACAAAAAAAATTATGAGACAAAATTTCAACTAAGCCTTTACCACAGTGTAAAAAATGAAATTAGTTGCATTTATGAATAGCTGAAAAGAACTTATACTTACCAAGCAGTTTGCATTAGTTTTCTATTCTTAACCTTCAAAACTTCAAGAAGGGTCACAATGATCTGTAAATATGTAGAAATAAAAATGTAATGAATAGCTCTTATTTCCATGAGCCAGGAAATAAGGGCTGCAGCGATTCAATTGTAAAGAATCCGGGAAATATTTCTAACAGAAAAGCACCCCATTCTGAAACTTGACTTGAAAAATTCCTCTATGATTAAAAGAAGCAACACTTACCTCATCAGGCTTATTAAATATATTCTACAGAGAACAAAAAAACATTTCCTAAAATGAGTTTACATTGTCATAACATTTGCTTTATGTCAATAAACACCAGATGTTTTTCAAATTAACAATTTAGGTGAGATCAGTAAAAAAGTTAACACTTACCATTTGGAATATCATTTTACTATGAATATCTGAGTTCTAGATTTGTAAGCCTGTAGACAAACAGAATAATAAATAACAAATTGTAAAAAGAACAAGATCTTAAATTTCATATAGAAAAAAAGATACCCAATGGTTTTATATACTGACTTAATATATTTAAGCTCTTCTGATACCACATAACAAATAATAAATCAAATAACATTGTAGAACATGAATAATGTTTAGAAGAGAATATTAATTTATTTTCTTGGTTGAAAATAACAAATTTATAATTATTTTTCATTCATAATGCTTGGCAATTTTATGTTTTATGCAACACCACATAAATTACAGGCGAAGAAAAGATGCTTTCATTAACAATGAACTCTTGAAAATGTGGCAACAAAAGCCTTATACACCTTCTTAAAGATTTGAGGTTAGAGATAGATACATCAGGAAGCGAGATAATCTAAGAAGAAATAAGAAGCTAGAAAAATGGTATGCACTGCACTTTTTTGTTATAAGTAAGGCCCGGATTTTGATGACATTTGCATTTTTGGACACTTTTTATCCTTTAGAGCATTCTTTTAGATTCATAGGGCATTTGTTTTTAAATTTAGGGGCGTATTTTGCATTATAAAGCATTTTTTAAGGTGATTGTTATTTTTTTCGAATTTTTATTATTTTTTTGGGTATTTTTATTACATGAAATGCAAGATTTGTCTTATAATTTTGCAATTCATATTGTATCAAAGAATGTTTCAAAACATTTGCTAGAACATACATTTATGCTCTAGAATGTTTCAAAACACTCTAGAACATTATGACTAGGAGAATAAAAATTCTCCTAGTCAGATTTGCNATGGAAGTTGTTATATTCATTAAAGTTTCTATACAAAATGAAAATGTTTTGGAGTCGATATATTTTCCTTTTTTTGTTATTTTTGGATATAAAACATATTTGTCGAACTTAATGAACGTAGAACAAGTATTGCATTGCTTTATATTTTTTTAAACGACTCATAATAATTTTAAAGAGTAAAACATTGTTTTAGTTCAATATTTTTACTTCTATTTAAGTCATGTCATAAGGCATTTTTAGCGAAATTTTCGCACTTTTAAGGGCATTTTTAGCACTTTTTAAGGGCATTAATTGAGATTTTTTAGGTCATCAAAATCCGGGCTCTAGTTATAAGAATCAAGCCCCTATTATTAACACAGAAAACATTAACAATTAATTGTGAGGCAGAGCAAGAAACCCTGAAAATTTTGAGTGCAAGATATTAGTTATCGTGTGAATATGAACCATAATATTGATTTCTAAAAACGCTCTTATAAATAATAAAATCGATGTTTGACATTACAAATGCAAAAATACATATCCGAATACTAGATTTTAAAAGCATGTTAAATTATATCTTTCCATTAGCTGTGTAAAAAATAATAACACGAACTTAGTTTTGTATTTATGAAAATACTAAGCACTATATAGAACTTTGGTTGGTAATTGTTAAAACAAAATCATATTTAAGTAATAGAAAACTAATTTTTGTAATTTTATTGTAAATCAAGATATTAGTCACCCTAGATGACTAATATCTAATAATTCTAGGTGACTAATAATAATTATAGTCACCAAGAATCGAATTGATTGCTTGCATTGGACATTGGTACATACAGTCAACTGGACTAATATTTTAAACTATTTTGAAAGATATATTGAAAATTCCCCATACACAATTTTCTCACAGACGCAAAGGAAAGTTAGTAACAGTTTCAATTAAATATGAAAGACTTTGATAACGAAACCAACTACAGAAATGGCAATTTAACAGATGGCACGTTGAACAAAAATTATTAAGTTATTGATTTAAAAGAGCATAATACAACATTATGGCAGAGCAGTATTACTTATTTTTTTGAAATAGAGAGGGGGAAAAAAACACTACAGGTCTAAATGCGTCACCTTTATTTAGACATTCTGGTATATTTTCATATAAGAGGGCTCCTCATAAATTTCGCTATTGCAAAATTTTATATCTTGTCATTCAATACCAATAGCTTTTGCATTTAGAGAAGAAAACAGCAAAGGTAGTAATATTTTATTATTCTTTAAGGGCTTTATGTTTCCATTTAAACCTACCAGGGAAAACCTGTTTGCTAGATTGAGTAAGTTAAAAACTAATGGATAAATCTCAGATACACTTTATATAGTAACTATTACATTGCATATTAGTGACAACAAAATAAAGCATGCTTACTTTTAGTTTTAATTTGCAATATAAACGTCAATCCTTTTTTCCAACTTCAAAACTCATGACCTATTAGTCAAATAAAAATCCATATCTGGTTAAAAGAATGACTCTAAATAAGATCATTAGGATGTACAAACATAGTTGCTATGGAAACACTGCAACATGTTCCACTAATCATCCCGTTTCAAGCGAAGTTTTGTCTTGCCATCCTAAAAATTGAGTTACAGATGAAACACAGTAAAGATATAAGCTAATCAAAAGAATCCAACATGAAAAGACAATACCTTGTTGAAGCTTGTTCACTGCAAATTCAGCAAAGACAACAATACAATGGGTCCAAGATAGCTGGTGGCTAAAATCTTTGATTATAATAAAAAATTTAGGTTAGTGAAATAGAACAAGCAGCAAAAAGATATCATTAGCATCGATAAGAAAACTTTCTATTAAACTATGTTGTTTTTGAAGATTCTTCAAGCATAAAAATATCTATCAATCACTTAAATTTTATTCTTACTTCAGCAGAAATTTTTCAAAACTGCTATCTTGCGGAACAGCAGATATTTGGAGCAAAACAATTTACATTGTGTTTGTCAATGTCACTCTTTTGTTTAAACTGTGAGGAAAATTTTAATGCAGTTGTCTCCTTATGTAGACATCAATTTAACTAATTTAGACTCGTTATTGACATTTTAGTTTATAAACTAAAATTACAGGTCATAAAAAAAACTTGTATTGTTAATTCTGCTGTTGTGCTTTTAGGTAACAGATTCAAATAACGAATACAATGAAAATTAAATAAATTATCACTTACTAGGTAGTTTAGAACATAGAATACTCACTAACTTTCTATGAAGAAAATTTATCAAATCAAACTAACTTTTTAAAAAAAATTTTCTACAAAAAATAATAATCAAAGGTTAATCTAGGTCTAAACCACAACTACAGCTATAAATCCGTTGGTAAAAAGAAGCGTTTATCCATTACATAATAAATGTATTTTTAATTTAATCTTAAAATTGTCAAAAATGTTATTTTATGTCAAACAACATTTCATCTCATATCAAATATAGAGGCAATTATTACAACTGATTTACAGCAACCTAATAAATCCCACATTTAGAACTGCACTAACGAATTAAAAGAAATCAGAAAAAAAAACTAATTTAAATTATTCCTTAAGTGGATTCATTGATAAATAAAAAATTACATACACATATGTATAAAAGAAATACAAATTTAGACAATACATCAATATAAAAACATCTGGTGTTAAGAAACATAAAACAAAGCACAACACTCAATAATCAGAATTTCTTATTTTTACAAAATTCTTTCTAAAATAAACTTTTCAATACATACCTTTTAATTCCGTTCATTTTGAACAGTGCAATCATCAATCAGAGGACTTATGAGTGCAGCTGTTAAAATACATGTGAATAAAAGATAAGATAGAAAATATGAAATTAAAAAATAAAGTGTAGATTCTTTTAATCTTACGAGGAATTTATTCAACTATTTAATAAAAGCCTTGAAGACTGACCTCTTTTTAGTTTGCTGTTTAGAGATGTGGGTATGCTACAGATCAATATGCCAAAATTATGTCACATGAGCTGTTTGTATGGGACTTCAGGATAAAGGATAGTAGCTAACAGCAAAGAGGAGTCATTTAACGGATGATCTTGAGCTCTGAGTTAAGAACTTCGCTTGGGTCTATACTCTGTCAGCGAGAACCAATTGCAAAAGTAAACAAAGCAACATTACATACGATATTATTATTACCTATTCGGAGCAAAAGTCATAACTAACAGAATTAACCAGAAAGTGGCCAATACAAAGAGAATTGTTGAGGAAAAGTTGGCAATAAGCAGAAATCTTTTACGTAACTTCTGCTATTAATTCTTGCTGAACAGAGTATATTCGCTTTTGATATTTCTATATATTTAATTTAATTAGAAAAAAAAGTTTTATTTTTTAAGCCTTAACAATTAAACCGCTGAAGAAAAACAAAAAACACCCTGTATTTCCTGACTTTAAATTCATAGTATATTTAAAAATAATATAAAACAAAGAAAAAACTATCAGCAATTATCTGTAAGGTGATTCACATTTGTTAGTTAAACAGACTATCTCACTTTACTTTTGTATCCATAACTTTATCAGCAATAAGAAATAAATTTAGTTAGAGTCATAACTGCAATGCAATAACATACTACTTGCACCACTTTCTCATTTGGGATTTTTACTGCTCTTAATAATTAGGCCACATTTTAATTTGCAATACCTCTTACAATACAGTAGCATAGGATTTGTTTTTCTTAACTAAATTACAGCATATTAGCATGAAACAATAGTCATTAAAATTCACTAAATCATTAAAATACTACTATTAATTTGCACAGAAAGCAAGCCACTATAACTGAGTTTGCTCATATTTTTAATATAAAAATAAAACATTTTTATGAAAGAAAACGACTGATTTTTAAAATATATTAGAAATTCTTAATTTAAATATAGGTCATAATTAATGAATTAAAAAAATGACAACTTTCAGAATCTGTTGCATTAACATGAATAGAAGCAAAAGTTCAATAATTTAAAAAAAAAAAATTTTGGCTGATTTTATAGTGATGAATTCTATAATAAAGAAAACAAACTTAACATTAGTGTTTTTACATAATTAAAGAAATAAAATTGAGAAAAATGAACAGACATTTGTCCCAATCTTATACAAACGTCCGCATACTATTATATGTTAATGCACAAAAAGATACTGGAAATACTAAAAAAAAAAAAAAAAATTCGGTAAAAAAAAGAAAGGCCCACTTTAAACACGCTATTAAGTCCAAATTTCAAAACAATATCTTAAACATTTGGGGTAATAGCAAACGAACAGTCAAATCAAAATTTGTGTTAGTATGAGTTTATAGCCATATCTTTGGAGCAAATTGCAGGGATTGATTCTTTTCATGTGGTCATAAAAACACTTTAAAGTTTTTGATAATTTTAAAAAAATTATTCATTGTTTGCAGGTAATTATTTTACAATAAATATGTCTTGTGACCCCTTATAATTAAAGTAAATCTGAAAGATAGAATAAAACTAAATCTGGAAAAAATTCTGAAAGACTATTTTTTCTTCTTTTTACACCTGATTATTACTCCTTAAACTATTGAAAGTGCACACTAATTGGTAATAGCTGGTCAAGGGATCAAATGATATTTCTGGCAATTGCAAACAATGCATTAAATGAATATTTTAAAATAACAGAGCTTGTGTGCGAATGCCACCTATAATTTTAGTCTTCAAGAAAACAAAAATGATATTACACACAGCATAAAATTAGATCTAATTGCATAAGTAAATGTAATGTCGTAGGATAAAAAAAAATGAGGAATTACATTTTAAACTTGCAGATTAAGAATTACCCTTTACCATCATTAAGTGAAAAAAATATTTAATGTATTAACATAATCCTGCGCTTAACTGACATAAGAATAAACTAGAATGCACCTACAAACTTTTTATTCTATTATTATCAAATATTTAGTGCAGTAGAAAAATTTGAATTTAGACATTAGATTCCAGGTTTTATAATTTTGATTTAAAACTAAATGACGATAAATAATTATATATAAAAACTATAACGATGCAGTGATGTCTTGATCCAGCTTACCTGTTTGAAAACTACATTAAATACACACTAGCAGGGTCATTAACAATTGAGGGAAAAAGAATGAAATTTCCCATCAATTATTTTTACATTTAATAAGCAACATAATAAAGATAGAGGTGGCAAAATATTAAGCTTTTAATGCACTTAAAAATGATAAAATCCTAACCATTATTCTATTTCTATAGGATAATTACTATTAATACGTTAATATTTTGAAGAAAATAAAAATACATTTAAATAGTTTTTCTGTAACTGCAGCAAATTCTTTAAAGTAGAAAATTATAAAATAGAGATAATATTTAAAGGAATTGTGTTATAGGAATATAACCAGGGGTCTGTCTAGGTTTTTCTGAGAGGTACCTATTTTGTGAAAATTTAGACATAATTTGTGAAAAATTAAAAATTATATTAAAAAATCAACACAAAAATATGGTAAAAATATGAATTTATCGTGTCTTAAGGGATACAAAAATAAAATTTTAAGAAAAGTATTTTGTGAAACTACCGTTTTTCCTAAAGTTGATTTTGTGAAACTACCGTTCTTCCTAAAATTGAATTTGTGAAGGTACCGCTAAACGGTAGTAAATTCGGCCTGGACAGACCCCTGATAACCCTATATCATATAAATAAAATCAGTTAGTAAAAATAATGTAGTAAAACCAATCAATTTAAAAGCAAATTAGCTTAGTTAAGAAGCTGCAAAACAGTTGGTCTAACAAGTTTACAAATACAAAGAAACTTGATAATGATACACAATTGGAAAATATATACTTACAACACCTAAAACTGCACATTCACAAAAATTGAAGTTTTGAAAATCTTTTAATTTAAAAAAAAGGGGTGTTATCTGAAAATTTTAGCACTTCAAGAGAATTCAGACCACTAGGCAAATCTGGAGTTTAGTAAGAGGCAAAACTTGACAAATAAAAAATAATGGGGTAGCCAGTGCAGAACACCATTCATAGAATTCCCCCAAAATAAAAAATAAATCTTAAAGAAAATAACGCAAAGTCTAAAACTAGGTAAAAATTCACATTGTATGGCTGCAACTGATATAGGCATAACCTTGCAAAAGAGCCAAGGAACTAACACATCAGCAAGTAGCAACCAAAAGATCTGGTGGAATATTTGCATTTCATGGGCAAACATCTGATCTTCCTCACTGTTAGTTAACATACAGATGTTGCCTAGAAAGATATATTTTATTTTTATGATTGAGCTTCGCAAAACTCAACAAAGTAGTTTCATGTTATAAAATATATGAAATTTGGGTTGCTCATTACTTTTTTGCTTTGATATATTTTCCCGTAATAATCTGAGTGATAAAACTATATTAACGTGATTTGTCAGGAATTTTAAACATATCAAGATGGAGAAATTGAATTTTAGAGATTCAATTTATTAGATCAGGTCATAGAAGTTTAACTACCTACTATGTTTAACCATTTACTATACTATTTTAATATTTAAAAGTAAAATCTGAAAACTAATTACAGTAAAGACAAAACAGATTACCCAGCAATTAAGTTAGAATAGACTTAACGTGTGTTTAGCGATGCTAACATCACTGCAGAAACCTTAGAAACTGAAAATAGAGCATCTTAGTGAACTGATTTTATTAAAAAGGAAATTAAACTTAAAGGGAAAAAAAAAAGAGTAAAAACTTCACATGAATGTATATTACTTTATAGAAAAATAACTCCTGGGAACTAGATGTTATAGGTACTTTCACAGCTTAGTTACTCTAAATTAGGTAATTGCATGTTTTTACAGAAAGCAAAGTAAGCATTACAGAAATTTTTTTAAGCCATCAAATATTAAAAAAAATTGTGAGCAAAATGGTTTTTTAAACTTTTTAGACTATCACAGAAAATTTGAGGTATTTTGAATTCATCACACTGCTTTTATTCAACCTTATAAACGAATCCCTTGCAATATTCAACTATAAAAGTATTAAATACAAAAATTTAAATATTAACAACTCAATATCAAATATAAGAACATTAAAATCAATTTTAAATAACAATAATTTTGCCAAAATTAAACAGTTCCTTAAAAGTTATTTTTTTCTTAAATCAGAAATGTGATTCAAACTAAGTTACATACATATATTAAATAAAGAACATATGTATAATAAACACTCAAATCATAATATTAGTAATAATTTCTCTCTTTAAAAGCAACAAACTTAAATTATTCATAAAAAACTCAAAAATGATTTGGTCTATATTTCTAAAAGTTAAATCTTATAAATGCCTAGAAAAATTAACCGAAATCCAAATATTTTTTTGCATTGTCCTTAGATATTTAAAATTTATATCTTATAAGCATTTTAAAAATTGTTAGATTTCAGAGATAATTATCCGAGATACTGTTTCACAGTTAACTAAATTAATTTTTTACATAGGACTTGAGCTTCGTAATTACGGATCAGAAGAAATTAACCGAAGTTATAAAATACAAATTAAACTTCTTTAATTTTTAACCACACTATAATACTAAATTTCTAGACTTATACTTATTACACACAGCATACTTAAATATTCAAAATTGTTTCAAGCACATTTGCCAAGATTGACTAAAGCACACTTTTGAATATGAATATATATGCTATCACTTCTTGCAACCTGTCAAATAAAGCAGTAAAAAAAAAGATAAAGAAATTAAGTAGTGTGGTTTCTGAAGACAATCAGATCTTCGGGAGGCGTGTGAGATTGCAGAACACATTCTTTGTCTGTTGCCTTCATCCCCTGAATGCATCCTGTAGAATAAATAACAATTTGGAATCAGCATTTTTCTAAAAATGAAAGAAATGACCTTACCAGATACAGTTTATTTAGTTCATATACTCCAGTTACTTATAAAGGATAAAAACCTTATTTACATACCACATAGTCATTTCTTCCTGAAGAAAAAGTACATAAAATCCTTCTCACATCTTTATATTCATGCTCATTGAGCAAGTTAACGTAATACTGCATTCGAAAATTCTTTTACTGGCCTTGCTCAATTTCTTGCTACAAACTTAATCTAAAGCTTTTGAACTCTCTGAGAAAAAACTAAGAGTTTAAAAAAACTCTTAGAATTTTACAGAGAGTAATAAAAAGAAATTACAATTTATCTCAATGATATTAGGCGACTAAACTCTCAATTTATAAACGAACTCTTTTGAATTCTATTTTTAAACAATACACAAAAATGTGCGTACACCATAATTTACAGATAATTGCATCAGATTTTTTACAGATAAGAAAATTTGAATCTTTATTATGTAAATTATCTTACCTTATGAGGATGCTTCACATGAACACAAAATCCAAGCTCTTTAAGTACTCTTCTTTCTCCTTTGATTACTTGGTTTTTCAAGTTAATGTAATTTTGATCTAGTATAAGAGGCTGGATAGTTCTATAAATATAGTTTTAATTAGTACACAACACAATGTTTATGACCATGCAGAAAAAGCTGGTAAGGAAATAAACACTCTGTTTTAAAGCGCTTTGTTAAATTTTTGTATCTTATCAAGAACACACAAATCTTAGGTAAAGATTGCAAAAAATATGCACATAATCATTTAATCAAAATATATATATACTACCTATAAATTAACTTTAAGTAAAGCAAAAATTCCTAAAATATAAAAAGATTACAAGTGTTAATTTAAAAAGTCAATCAGTTGTGAATGATATACTTATAAATTTTCAACTATTTGCAATTTGATTAACAATGAATGAATTAAATATCTTTTATTTAGAGAAAAAAAAAAACTAAGCTTTTCCTCCTTTTCATCTATAAAACCAGTGTTTCTGGAAGCATTGAACCCTTATGACAATTTTATTTTCATGTAATAATTATTGCATTTTGATTTTTAAGTTCTTCCTTAATTGTTCTGGTCTCCAAGGTAACATTAAATTTTTTTTTTACTTTTTATGCAAAATTTTAGTTTGGAAATTTGAAATTAGCTGAAATATCAAGACCTCATCTAAATTACAAGTATATACAATCAGCACGAATTTCAATATTTTATAAACATGTGATATGTAATTTATAGAAATAACTATCAAAGTTCACACATATTAAAAAAAAAACAATGATTATGCAAAAACATTTTAAGAAATATATTTATGTTAATACAATCTGCAAGGTTAGTAAAAAATTTTAAATTAAAAATTTACTTATTAATTAATTTAAATTGCTTAAATAATTAAAAATTGCCAATTCAACTACTTTTAATTACAGTGATCAATTCTAAAAATCAAATACATAATGAGGAATGTACTACTGTTTACTTTACTTGCATAATGAAATCATAACTTTAAATAAAGAAAATTAAAAGAGGATTTCAATTTTCGCAAAAGAAATATTGTTTTATTTTTAATATTTTGATTATCTTGAAGTGGTACCTTACCTGTATTTTTAAATTATAATTTCAAACTTTTTTGGATGTTTATTAAATAAGCATGATAAACTAAAGTTTCATACCAATAACAAATTTAGTACTGTATATTTAGTACTATCTTTAGCATGATAGGAATTATATAATTTATATATTTTAAACTTACTTTCCAGCTTTAACTTGTTTAACATGATGAAAAACGTTTGCCACATCTCTTATCCGACGAGGGGCTTCTTCAATTTTTGATGCCAAAGTAATACAAGCCATGGCAATGACCTAAAATAAAAAAGCTGTTAAACAAACAAAAATTCAAAAATAAAAATAATTAAAACAAGCGAGACCTTAATTACCTCCATTGGCTGTCTGACAAATGACTTTGAATAAAAAAACCTCTGAAATAAGACCTGTCCTGTAGCCATGGCAGTCTGAAAATAAAGAGACAAGCTTAAAACATATTTCTTGCAACTAAACTTACTTGTAATATGTTTCATTAAAAATATTATAAGTGTACTGATTAGTGTTATTACAATTTATCCCTGATATGGTAGAGAAAGCGTATATTAAAAGTGAAAAAATTAGCTAACTATAATGTTAAAAAGAATGAATATTTATATTTATAAACACAACATGTAGTACAAAGGTATCTAACAAGAAACTTTTCTGACATTAACTTCTAATGATCTACATCAAATTGCAGGCTTACACTTTAATCCTATAGTAAGTCAGGGTTTATTTTAGGTGGGGCTTGTGAGGCAAGTTACTAAAACTATGAGTTACAAAATTAACAGTATTATTTTTACCAGAAAATCAAACAGCAAGGGATAAAGAATAAAATAGAATATCCTAGTAGATTTAATAACGAAGATTCAGGTCTACATTATAAATCATTGTTACAGGAATATGAACATTTTGTTGGAATTTGTACATATTCAGAATTTTTGTTTTTTGCTTACATTTAGAAAAAGATTAATTTATAAAATGGTTTAAGTTTTTACAAATCTTTCAATTATGCAGTTTTTTCCCACCTTAAGATCACATTTTATTAAAAAAACCTTATCCTGGGATAATTTACATACCTCTATATCACACTAATTTGATGCAACAGAAACATAATTTCGCTTCAACCTCCGCTTTCCACAAAATTGATTTGAAAAAAGAAAAGGAGGCTGAGTTTGACAAGTACTACTTCTGACTAAGCATAAAGCAAAAGCAGACAATATCAGTTTAAATGCCATAAGCAATATAAAAATTAATGTATAAAAAAAAGTTTAGGCAAGCTCATAGCTTACTCAAGGTATCTCTAGACTAACTTATTTTATATTTTAAATTAGTTATTACAGATGAAACAGAATTTGTAATGAAAAGTTTTTCCTGCAGCAAAGCATTCTCTAAATGACAGTGGTAGAGACATCATTAAGCATCATAGGTGCCAGAATGAAAAGGTAAGAGTAGGAAAAAAAAAGAATAGAACAGATTTTACAAAATTATAAATATTATAACTTTAGCATTATAACATATAGGGAATTTTAGGGATTATTATTGTCATCAAAATAAAAAAATTTCATTACATTAATTACAGTAAATGGTCTGGACTATATTCCATGTATAATGGACATTATATAAATTTGAAATGGGGATTCTGAATAAAAATAAACTGAAAATTTTAAAACAAAGACAATGAAAAGCTTTCTAGCAATTAATTCAATTTCAAAAGGGATCATTTTTCGACCAGAGGAATTTTAATTGAACCAGAGGAATTTTAATTATACCAGTAATATACCAGTAATAGAGTAGAAAATTCAATAAAATTACATGAAACAGAATTAATAATTTAAATGGACAAAAATCGCCATTGTTATACTAAAGCATTTTACACTACGTATCAGATAGTTTCTGCATAATCACTTTTCTACATTTAAAATATAGAGCAAGATAAACATAATAGATCATTACTATTACTACGCCATTTGCTTTTCTTAGAATTAGGCTTAACAAACATAAACGTTTGGCATGACCTTTATAATGAATGACGAAATCTCTTTTATTACAATTTGTTTTTGTAAAATAAATGAGTAGAAAATATCATTTACCTGAGGTAATCGGAGTAAAATACCCGATGTTTGAATCCATTCACAGCCTAATATTCGTAATTCCATCTCTGATTCAGGGTCCAATCCATCTACTTGAGAAGGTGATGGAGTTAGTCTTTCTGGTGGCAGGATACAATTTTCTAGCGATAAACTAACTTGCGAGTAATGGTATTTGTTCTTTTCTTCATTATTTTGAGCAACAATTTGTGTTCCTGCCATTTTAATTATTTATCTTACTAAATTAATTAGAGAAGCTGCCACTAAACAATGGCATCCAACCTCGTAGTGGCACGGAAAAGGAGTTGAGTTGCATACACGAAATTTAAACTCAAGACTAAGAAAAATTTTGTAACTTGAACCGTATGAACTACGTTGCAATTTAGATTCTATTTTTTATTCACTTATAAAATAATAAATTAAAATATCATGAAAAAAATTTTGTATTGAGTAATTCAAGGATTAATTACATTTTCTCTAAAATTTAAAGTAAATTGCGGTTTGCAAAAACAAGAAAACCTGTGAATATGAAAACGCAGGCAGCCAAAAGCGTACTAGCTAACTGTTTCAGACGATATTAAACTTAAGATTTGTTATTCTTTAGCAAATAAAGTTAGTACAGTTAAATTTCAAGATAGTTTTACAAAAAATAAAAAAAGGCACGATTCTGTGGTACATATTTAATAATAAAAGTGAAGGAAAAATATTTTACGTTCATTAAATTATAATGCAACTTGATTTAAACTGTTTATTGGAAGAGATTAATATCTGGAAAAATGTAAATTTCAGTTTTTTCATTGGTTCTTCTGGAAGTTTTACTAGTGTAAAATTTTATATGAACTGTTTCAATACTTTTATTTGCATAACTTTTTAGACTGCGGGTTCTGTTTTGCATTATATTTTATTATAAGTATTATATATATTAAAATGTATCTGTGTCGCATCTTCGCTTTATTTATCTTAATCATTTAGTTGAAGTTTATTCTTTCGTATTTAGTTATGCAATTAAATGCTTTTACTTGGAAACGCTACAAATGATTGTTTTTTATGTGAAAAATGAGAAACAAAGATTGGTACCTGCGCCAATGGGATAAGTATTTCAAGGGGAGATATGTATAAGTATTGAGTATGGGATAAGTATTTTAAGGCAATAAAATTTAGTTACAATAAGTAGTGGCATGTGAGACACTGAAAATAAAAATATTGTAGCCGCACCCAGTCACGCTTCATGTATTTGTCTTGTAAAAATTTTTTGCAAGTTTTCAAATGCTTTGATAATAGTAATCGGCACAAACAGGTACCGATGCAGATGAATGAGTATTATATAACCACGTAGTTAATATTTTTGAAGTCTTAGTATATTCATAGAAGTGTTCTTTTGTATGGATACAAAGCAGTAGCTTCCTAATAATAGAACCTTTCTTTCACTGCAAAATTTTAAAAATGTTCTAACTTTATTTACCAGGGGTCTGTTTAGAAGAAATTTGGGTCCGTTAACGGACCATTCACAAAATATCTTTTCATAAAAATGGACCCTTCACAAAATATTTTAACTTAAATTATTTTGTGAAGGGTCCATTTTTATCTTTTAATCAGACCCTTCACAAGAGACACTCGATAGACATTTGCTTATTATTGTAAATGTGCTGGAAAAATTAACTGATACTGAGTGTTCAGCTATTATAGATATTTTCAAATCTACTGGCAATCGACATATATTGCTCTAATGTTTTGTTAATCATGTTTTTCTGCTTTGATTCTGAGGCTAAGTTTGATCTCATTTCATTTATATTATGTACCTTAACCCTCTTTGGAGTCAAAAAAATAATTTATAAATTCCAAATGATTCTAGGAAAATATTTCTACTTCTACAGACATCGTGTGTACATTCTTATTGATATTAAATGATTTTTTTGTATGTAAATAATTGAGTGATATATAATTCATAAAATTAATTGATAAAATATTATACATTTAAGAATTGTTTAAGTTTACTTAATGTGTAATTCATTAGAAATGATACGTATCTAAGTTGCGTAATTTTAAATATGTCAATTGAAATTATTAAAAATGTGAGTGATTTTGTTTCCATTTTTCGTCAGAAATGAATATTCGGTGTTGTGCAGTATAGGCTAAATACCAAATATTTGTATGTTGCATCTCTAATTTAGTAGCAGCAATAACTGTTTATTTTTGAAAATTTAATTTTTTTAATTATAATTTTACAGTGTTGAGCATAATCTTGTATCCGTTTACAATTTAAGAGCTCATTGAAAAGGTTTTTTGCAATAACAGGACCCTAATTGCACAAATTCGCAAAACAGGACCTTGGTTGCAAGAATGTGACTTAATGCTTATTTTATATTCACAAATTACGAGTAGTTTTTTCAAAATTTTACAAAAACAGTACGTTTTGCAAATAGTCTGGACGGAGTCCTGATATATTAAAAAAACTTCTAAATTTAAAGAAATATATGCTGGTACGCATAATAACCTATGTAGAGTTTTATAAAACCTAAATCACATATGAAAAAAAATTATTGATTTTCGCATAAATTTTGTCAAAATTAGGTGAGTGCGAAAGAGCTGAACCTAGTTGCAAGAGTCAATAAATTGCTTGCAGAGTGTTTTTTAGTTGAAAGGATGTGTCCATAAAAAGTTTTTCATTTTATTTAGGCCTGCAGCAGTCGTAAATCCGGTGATCGACTAAGCTTTAATGTTATTATATGTAAATGATTCTGTGCTTGGAAATGAGCGGGTTATTCCACTAACTATTGCTTGACAGATAAAGTATTTCTAAATTTTTGGTATATGTATGGAGTTATTATGTATATTTTTTTCTTACTCTCTTGAATTTAGAATGACGGTTTTAAGAAGGCTTGTTTGTATATTAGCAGTCTGACTCGAACTGTTCTTGAAAATAATTGATGAATATAAACCATTTTTCTTGATTCTTATTTAAGGATAAGTTAGCTTTGTATGGGATTATAGTTTCAAAATTACAAGGATGCAGAATCAGAACATTGAGAGTTCTGATGAATAGTTTCCGATAGACCTGTTAAATATTCTGATTTTAAAGAACTTTATTTGAAAGTATTTGGAGAGGCAAAATACATTTCATATATACATTACAACTTTTAAATATGTGACTTGTTATTGAACTATTTTTCCACACGAATCTTTCCAGCACAACTTGATTAATTTTGAAGGATTGAAAATTTGTATGGTGACATTGGACATTTCAATAAAAATTTTGTTTTCCAGAGTCTTTCTGCATTGATGTACTTTTATCCTTAAACTAATTTTTTAAAAAAGAAAAAAAATGGGGAAAAAGTGACCAGCTGTTTATTTAAGTCTCCACTTTTTTTTTGTTGATTTGCCATGTGGTGAGTAATTATTTTCAGGCCTAGTTCCAGAACATTGAACAGTAAACTGTTATTCCTTCCATTCATATAAATGAAGATTTTTTTTTTATGGACAAGTAGCTATTTTCTTGATACTTCTAAAAAATATTTCAATTTTCAAACTAAATTTTATAATGTTAATCTTTGTTTTATAACAAATTTTGTCACTAGCTGTCAATAAGAAGACAGATTTATTTTTGGCAGAGAGTTTATGCTAAAATTAATTTTTCTATCCATTTATTTTTTAGTTCATGATTTTTCAAAGTTCTGGGTTTTATTCAAATTTAAAGTGTAGATAAGATTTTGTAAATTAATGCAGAGTTTTTGCTATAAACTGATTCTTTTAATACATATTATATTGTCGTTATGCTATTATGTTTATTACTTTTCTTATTTTTACATAAGAAGATTTATTACTTTTTCAAGTCATTATTTTAGGTTGATCCATAATTTTCTTGTACCCATCTCTGCCGTTCGCAATTAATGTTTCCTCTAGAAGCGATCCATTCCTACTATACTTGTAGTTTATGTCATTTTAACATTGAGTTATAAAGTTTTTACTGGTGATACTTATTGTTGATTGTTTTTAATTTCTTATAGATTGTTAAAAAGAAGGATGAAAAAATTAAAAACCTGCAGAACCAAATTAAAGAAAATAGACAACATATTGAAAGTATTGATAATTCAAATAGCACTCTATTGCAAGGTATAAATGTTATTTTTTGACCAACCTTTACCTTTTTAGCTTCAAATTTTTAATTTTTTTTCTTCTTTTGTGTAGAGGTAATTCAGCAAAATAGTATTATTTCTTCAATTTACCAATCCTTATCTGTTGTTGAAAGGACTGAGGGTAGGTATTTTATTGACTTGAATTACTTCAGATGTATATTTAGTTTTTCAATTTGTAATTGAAATTATTTAATTATTTTATGTTTCAACTGTAAATTTCAGCTGATAATAAAGCTTTAGTTGAAGAAATTAAGAAGCTAAAATGCAATTTTAAAGAGCAGGAAAAAGTAAATTACTTTTTCTATTTTTAAATTATTATTTCATTGATTTATCAATGAAGCCAATGAATAAATAAAGAACTTATTGTTTGATTGTATGATTTATATTTCTGTTAAAATTTTTAAATTTATTTTGTTTATTTTAATTATATGTTATTATTATTAAATTTATATGTTATTATTAACATATTATAAATTATGTCACAAAAACCCATTAGTTTTACTTTTTAAAATGGCATTTATCAGTTTGTCTTTTTTGAGTTTGTGCAAAAGATGCAAAGTTATGCAAAGGATATTTGTTTATTAGTTTGTGCAAGCATTTTATTAAAATGTCTCAATGAATTTTTTTAAAAACTCATTTTGTTCCATAACCATGGTTATAAACCGTTAAGGAAAATGGGACAATGCCCTTGGGCCATAGAGTGAAAGAGGCCACCATAATAATTACTACTAGTTAAAAAGATATTTCATTACATATTAAAAGTATCAGATTTTCGTGATTAGAAGGGTTCCACTTTGTGTGTTTGTCCTGGGGTCTTAGAGATTTTTGCTACTCTAATGATTATGAATACCAAATGACAACAGTTGCATCTAGTAATGAAGTGAATAATTAACAATATAATATAATATACGATATAAATCTAGTATAAGAAGCTCCTTCAAAGAATCAACCTCTAAAAATCTTACATGTGATTGAGATGTTTGTAATCAAGTAGTTACTTACATATAAATGCATGTTAAGGAAAAGTAGGACACTCTTCTAAATAAATGTTTTCTGTTATAAGTAATAAGCAATGCATAAAACATTGAAATTCTATGGAATACCTAGAGGCATTTTATAGAATGCCTAGTGAAGAGAATAACTTACAAACTTTATCTAGAGACTGTATGCAATAGTGAAGAAATGTTTTTTTGGTAACGAAGGGAAAAAAAGGGTCACAATAAAGCTATTAATAAATCGATGTTGAATTCTTAAAAATAAAGATTCTAAATTAAAAGAAATTAAAGAGTAGGATTAAGGAGGCCTATATATATGCTACCTGCAATGGATGAAATGCCAGCATATTTCATAGGACATCTAAGCATTTTATAGAATCCTTGATGCCTCTCATACTTTGCCAGTTTGTCATTTAGTGTTCTATAGCAGCAATTCTCAAATAGTGTTCTGCGGGACCAAAAGTTCGGTGGAAAATTTAAAGGGGTTTTGAGTGTTAAGATTTTTTTAAACATTTTCTTTTAACATTTTTGAAATCTGTGATTAAATCCAATCAATAATTTATTATTTACTTATTATTTATTATTTCAATTGCCTTTATTAAATTATATTTAAAGTAAATTGCCAAAGAGAGAAAAAATTAAAATTTGATATATATATATAAATATATAAATAAATAAAATTTTTCTACCAACAATTAAGAAAAATTATAATAAGGGCATGCATTTATAAAAAGTAGTCATAGTATTTCACATTGCGCTTTTGAAATCAAAATAAAATAACTAAATTCTTTAATAATGAAATGTGTTTCCATAATAATGATCTTAAATGTTTATAATGGTTCTTTTTATAGCAATATAAAACAAAAGTTTTCGCCAGACTAGATTCATCTCCAAGATCGCAAATTCAACTGTCAAACGTAAAACGTAATTTGAGATTATTAATGATTAAGCGATGAAAAAATTTCATTCACCTTATAAATTATAAAAAAAATGTCTGAAAGTCAATATAAAGTTGTCTTCTAATAGTTAATACATACACAATTGTCTTTATTTACTTTAATAATAAAATTGAGGTTTGGTCAGAAGAAATGTGATTACTTAGGGTTCCTTAGCCAAAAAAAGTTGGGAACCGCTTTTCAATACATTGTTGGTTTTCAAAAATTTGCTGGTGACATATCTAATTTTCAATGCTTGAGAATTTTCTATTTTTTATAATTTGAGTTTACTCAATAATAATCTCATTTTCAAATATTTTTTTTGAAATCTTTGATTAAAAGAATATTGTCTTGTTTTTCAGTTACATCTAAAACAAAATAATGAGCTCAAAAAAGTAATTGAAAANTTTCAATACATTGTTGGTTTTCAAAAATTTGCTGGTGACATATCTAATTTTCAATACTTGAGAAATTTCTATTTTTTTTTATTAGAGTTTACTCAATAATGATCTCATTTTAAAATGTTTTTTTTTTTTTTTTGAAGTCTTTGATTAAAAGAATATTGTCTTGTTTTTCAGTTACATCTAAGACAAAGTAATGAGCTCAAAAAAGTAATTGAAAAATTGGAAGCCGACCGTAAAGAGGAAATAAAAAGGAAAATATCAGCTATCGAAGACAATGGTAATATATGTTTGATACATTATTTTGGGTATACTGACTAAAGTGACCAACTCAACAATTAGAAGAAAAAAAACAGCAAGTAAATGGACTAGAGTACTTTAGTTGCTTGTCACCTTTTCAGGAAAAAAAGCCCATAAATGAGTATACAGTAGAGTCTCGATGATTCGAGTCTCAGTTGTTCGAGTTTCCCATAAATCCGAGCTAGTGAAAAAAAGTCAGTCTTGCTCCTAAATAATGACAAGTGCACACACAACGCATGGAACAATTGCTACGATTGATTTTAATATAATTACTATGACTGAATGTTGAAAAACGATATTGTGGGGTCAACTCTGAAATATGTGAATAGTGTGTTTAAATAAAAACATTAGATAATTATTTTAAGGTACGATTAACCTGATGCAGTAATATAATGAATATTGTAACTTGGTTTAATGTAGTAAATGCTCCCTGATCCTCTAATGTAAGTTAATTTTCTTTAAATATGATATATTTTTCAATAAATACTGAAATTTAAAAATTGCTTTGTTTCAGTTTATTTAAACATTTATTAAATTTTACATTTTCGATAATTCGAAAGTTCGAGGTAGGCTTAGTCCTGTCTACCTCAAAGGAGAAAAAGCCTCTTATGGAGGCTTTACTGTAATGCAAAAAGCAATGTACATTGAATCAGGCTTTTTTACTTAAAAGGGTGGTGGGCGATTGAATAACTTACTTTGAAAATTCTAAATATTTATTTGTATATTTATGCATCAGTAAACATATGTTGTAAGTTGTAAGCAGTAGTAATATTTTATTCTTTATTATTTTTAAATATACTTCCATATAGGATTGCTTTTGTCAAAATAATAATTGTATATTTTTATAACTCATTAGTTTACATTACTAAATAGTAATGTTAATAGGTATGCATGTTACTCTATTTTTTTGTATTACACTTATTTATTTTTCGAAAATCACATGTTATTATTAAATTTTTTTTTTTAAAAATCTGTACCATTAACAGTGTTGAATAAAAAATATTTTAAATTACTATTATTATTAAAAAGAAAACATTTTTACAGCAGTTTTAGTTTTGGAATTTGTTAGCTGGTAAATTAGCATAATTATGCAGGAAGGAAAAATATTTTGATGAGAATAACAATGAGAACTAAAAAAGAATTAAATATCCTTACATATAAGTGTGTGCATTTTTTAGGCTATTTTATAAATCTTAATTTACATGACTAGATAGTAATACAGTCTCAAACCCCGCTATAGTGAACACGGTTTATAGTGAACTCCCGGATATAGTGAGCGAAATGTTCGGTCCCGCGCCTTGCTACAGGCGCATAATGTTATTTTTCGTGGATATAGTGAACCAAAAAGGAGAGGAAGTTGGATATAATGAACTTTTTTCTGTCTTTGACTGATTTTTTTTTTTTTGTAATAATTTTGAAATTTCTACTTCAAAATAAATACATATACAGATTTTTAAAACCATCTATAGCATGGAATGTAGCGATAAGAATTTTTTCTTGTTTGCTTCTTTTATCTCACTTTCCCATCCTTAAACAAACCAAGCAGATGTTTCCAACCCAGGCAGATGATACACCTGTAAGGTATCAGTGGGATCAATATGCATTTGCTGTCAGAGAGAAATTATTCGTTATTGGTCAAAGGGTTGGACTCTAATATGTGTCGATAAGGCCCTCATTTCAACTCCTTTTTTGCTCTCAGTTCAGTTAAAAAAAGTCTGCAAACAAGTGTCTCAAATTTAACTATGGCGACAAGTAAACGTAAAACGTCCTCCATTGATGATAAAATGGGCATAATCAGAAAAAATTTGAAAATGGATGCAATCAAGTTGATATTTACAGGGAATATAAACTATCTAAATCTGCAGTTTGTAACATATGGAAAATGGGAAATTAATAATTTCTGCTCATGAAAAAAATTTCGATGGCAGAAAAAAATTGAGAAAAGCAGATCACAAGGATGTTGAATAAGTATTACTGAAGTGGTTCACCTATCGAAGAAGCCGCAATCTTCCAGTATCTGGACAAATATCGATGAATTTTCTAAGCGATTTTATGACACTACTTTTATGTGCTCGAATGGCAGGTTAGACGGGTTTAAAAAGCGGAATAACAGAAATTCAGGAAAAATTATCTGAGAGTCAGGAAGTGTTTCCATATCTGATGTTGAGGATTGCTCATCAGCTAAAAATTACTCTTTTTTTTTTTTACACGCAAGACGCAGAGTAATAAAAAATAACACATATTTTGCTACTACATAATATTTTTCAGTGTTTTATTTGAATAATGTGTAAATTTGAATAAAGGGAGGAGTTTAGGAACCATCAGTTAAATTGCCTGCGTAACGGATATAGTGAACTCCGGGTTATAGTGAACCAAAATTTCGGTCCCTTGAAAGTTCACTATAGCGAGGTTTGACTGTATTAATGATTCTATTTATTGCAACACTTTTCCTTCATTTTTAAATTTTTTTTAACAATGCTTGTTTTGTATTTTTTTTCCTTCTTATAGTCAATAATTTTAATAAAAAGTTAAATACAATTAAATTATTACATTTATAAAAATATTTTTGCAAAAGTTTCAATTTTCTTAATATTTTAGTTTTTTTTTTTAACAATGCTTGTTTTATATTTATTTATTTTTTCTTACTCTCAACAATTTTAAGGAATGTTAAATACAGTTAAATTATTAAATTTATAAAAAATTTTTTTGCAAAAGTTTAAATTTTTCTTCTTATTTTTTTTTTAACCAATGCTTGTTTTGTATTTATTTTTTTTCTGACAGTTAACAATTTTAAGAAAATGTTAAATACGATTAAATTAGTGTTAAATTAATAAAAAATATTTTTACAAAGGTTTCAATAATTTTAGACTTAGCATGCTAGTGAATTGTTACACTGTTATAGAAGCTTTGTGATTCTGAGGAAAAAAGAGTATAAATTTACCAACATTATGAAATATATATTTCCTTCCAAAATGCTAATAGAATGAAACCAGTCTTAACTTTCTTCATCACCACTCATTTTGAACATAATAAACATCTGAATTATTCAAATAAATAGTTTAAAAACGCTTTTGTCTTTCATGGCTGAATTTAATTTTTCTTACATTTTATGCTAACCATATTTTTCAGTGTCCTTTTTATGTGAAAAAACTTAAGAAAAAGACATTTAGGTGGCTTGTTTTTTTTATTGCTATTATTAATTATGTTTACTTTTCATGTAGAACCTTTTGTAAAATGTACAATATTTTTTCAAATATCATTTTAATTTTAAGGGGTCATTTAAATATTACATAAGCAATTTTTTGGCAATTCCAGAACTCTTTGTCATCAAAAATGCCTAAATCATATATCTTCCAATGTTTACATAAGAAAGTTCTCTCTGATTTTTGTTTTAACTTTGTCATTTACTGTAGAAATCTAGTTGCGGAATTAAATATCAAATTCAAATAAAAAATTTTAACTTTGCATTAAGTAAAGTTACGTTTTTATTAATTTTAATAAAATTTTGAGACAAATATTATTTTGTGTTCGAAAATAGTGACTTCTAAAATTCTTCGAAAAAAAAATTTTCTGATTTTTTTTTCTCCGTATTCAACTTTTATTCCACTTTGGAAATTTTTCCACATGAAATTTTTTTATTAAGTTTTTTTATTGGTTTTTTAAGAAAATTTTGAAAATAAAATAGATTTTACTGTCTTGCGTAAACATTGCTCATATCCTTCCTCTCTTATCAGTAAAAATAAGCAAATCACAAACCCTTACCTGTTGGATAGCTAATTATTATTACGTAATATTTGATGGGCCATTCATGTTAAAAAAGAAGTATAGATGAATTCTTGCTGGATAATTTTCATCAATTTAAATTATATTTATTAATTACATCTATCTAATTAATTGTAGTATTAAATTGTATTTATCTAAATAAACATTTATTTAATACCTGTCCTAAAACTTTGTTCTCTTTATACTTCAGTATCTTCTGAATTAGAAAAATGTGAAATAAATATAAGAGAAAAAGAAAATTGCATACTCTTATTGAAAGATGAGATTTCAAAAATTGAACATGAAAAAGTTCAAGAAATCTTAAAAATACAAATTGAAGTAAGTTGAAATTTAATTTTTTAAGAAATAATTGTAACTTCATTTCATTTTTCGGTAAATGTTTAGGTGTTGTAATGTACCCAATTTTTGAATTTAAAAGAAAACCAAGTGGCTGACACTGAACATTCCAAAGTCTAATTTCATTTCATTTAGTATACATAAAATTTATTGGAGTACATTTAGAATGTTTTACCGTACTACCATACTCAATTACAAAATGATAGCTTGTGGCAAGATGTAGTTTCTGTGTGAAATTGCCTGTCAACAAAGTGTTATGACGTTTATTTATAATCCCCGTGGCAGAAACATGGCGACACAGCGACATTGTCGCAGAAAGCGACTGAGTTCTTGCAGAAAGATTTTTTTTATTTGGGAAATAAAAATCTTGGTTTGCCTCAAACAAAAGTTCTCAAAATAAATTCTGCAGAAACAGAAGCTGTTTTACCAACAAAAAAAAACATTTTCTTCAGAAACAAAAAATTTCTGCAGAAGCAATAATGGTTCTGCAAAATTTTTTTCTTACAGAATTGTTTTAAATATTTTTTTTTCTAGCGTACCGCGGAAGGAGAAAGCGCTCGTAATTCTCCGTTAATCTCCAACACAAACAGTTACTGGATAAAAAGGGGAGAATTTTTTTCCCCTTTATTAAGCTATTTTTGGAAATTTGCCAACTTCGGCCTCTATCGCTGGCGCAGTAATTTGCTTTGTGTTTTTTTATGAGAACAGAGCATTTTATATTTTTTGCACTTATGTGGAAAATTTCATGCGTAAAAAGATTCTTTTTTTTAAAAAATCATGTCTAGCGAAAAGGTTATTTGTTGCAATTGTGAAGCCACAATAGTTAAAACAAATTTGAAAACTGATTTATCAAGGCGGCATTCCGAAAAAGAAATAAGATGGAAGTCGACAACATCTAAAAATGCCTATATGCTTTGAATTAAATCGTCGATAAAAAAAAAAACGCAATCTAACGATAAATGAAATAAAGCCTGAAAGATATCTCACTATCTACGATTTTTTAGCATGCGAATGAAAACCAGATTGGTGAAAAATATTTACTGGTCACTTTCAAACAGGTTTCCATACGCATGCGAAAAAAATCGCATCCAATGAATATGGCTCTAATACCGATGTTTCAGTACTGATAAAGACTATTTCGTTTCGAGATGTTGAATAGACTTGAGCATATTGAGTCGGAAACTGCTTCTGCATACTTCGTGTGGAATCAGTGCTATATATTTACACAATACAGTGCGAAATCACAAGCGCTGTGTATTTTTTTCGTTCTGAACTTAATCTGATCACGAAAAAAGTTTTATTTACCTCCTTTTTTTTAAAAAAAAAATCTTTCAATAAGTCAGTACAATATTAATCGAATCTAATTAATTAGGTAAAATTAATTAGATGTAGAAAAAATTGAAACAAACATTGCTTTAATTTTTTTGCTTTTAGAATTCGGTTATAGTCAATACTATTTTATTATTTTGATTACTCAACTTCAATATTAATTTTTTCACCTGATTTGTTTCTGTACCTGATATAACTACTATAGTGAAACATTAAATCATACTGTTTTAAACTGATACTTCAAATTCAGTTATCTTGTTTTATAAATTTAATCTTATTGTCCATTCTTAGCTATTTCTATAAGTTCTATCTTATTACAGGTTCTGGGTAATCTTTATTTATGCTCTAGTAAGCATTTTTGTCTGCAGATCTATACATTTATAACTTTTCGTTATTATCGAAGATTATGCAAATTTATACTTAAACAATTTAAACTTATTAAGAAATGTAAACTTATATTATGAAATTAAGAAAAAAAATCCTACACAGTTTTATTCTATGCATGTAGACTTATTTTATAAACACGAATTTCATCTATTATTATAAATTCATTACACATACATTTATAACGATAAAAATATCTTGCAGAAAGATATTGGTTCTAATTAGGTTTGTCGCAGAAAGTCAGAAAAAATTCTGCCACAGGGTTTATAATTTTAAATATTGATTTATAATGTTAAACTGAATGGATAATAATAATTTAAAAATAATTTTTCGAAAATATATTGATTTAAAAAAGATATAGTGAAAACGACATGCATAGTTTGGTCACTAGAGTTTCATGCTGCATTTTTTACATTGTAGTTTTAAGTATGCTTTTACGTTTAATGAGTTTATTAAAGTGTTTTCTTTATAAAGTGACCTAGTTCCAATTAGATTGATTGATGAACTTATACCACTTCAGATTTCCACCAAACATAGAACTAACTTTAAATATTCCCAGTTATAGAGGAAATCATATTTTAGGGTCCCTTTGCTACCAGGCTAACTAAGGTAGGTTTTGGTGGTTTCTCATCTCATTTGAAGCGGGTTGGTTTATATTAATTCTTGAACCAACCCTTGTCTTCTGGGTTACTTTCAAAATTAAAAGACTCCATACAAAGTTGCACATTGATAGCTTCATATTTGATATTGAGCACTTGTCAACTTCAGCTATAAATGTGATTTAAAACAAGTAAACTAATGCTAGTACCACTGTAAAATATTTCTAAAAATATATCTCTTTGTGACCTACTGTATTTTTCTTTTTGAACGCAGGTTAGTTACTGCCTCTAATGTTTATCCACATTGTTATTCAAAAAATATGTTGTAGTCTTTATTTTTCCTCTTTAAAAAACGACTAAAAAAATAGTTTTTGTAGCAAAGGGACTCCAATAGCTGTAAATAATGCTACGATAGATTTTGTTCCAAAAAGTGCCTTATATATTGCTCTGAGTTCACTGGTGAAATTTGAGGCGATGGAACCAGTGCCCAAAGAATGGTTCATTTTGGGTATTTTGAGCCTAGTGATAGAAACCAAACAGCATGACATAGGGCTTTGTAGATTACCATCACATTTAGGTCAGTATAGCCTGATTGGTAGGGCATTAGGCCCATATCCTAGAAGTCATGTGTTGGATTCCCTCTGGCCTATGGCTACCCATGTAGTAAATGGTGACCTGTGCATGTTAAATCTGTCAGGTCACAAAGTCCTTCCTGTTCCCATAACAAATCAATACTTCTGGGGGTACTGAATTGGAGATTGATCGTTCTCTGGTTCAGGTCAAAATTACGATCTGTGGATGTGTGAATTGGTCTGCCCTATAAACTGGTTCTGAAGTCATATTCTTGGCCGTATATGGCTCCCCTGAAAAACAAGAAATGCACCCTCTGCCTTAAAATTCGCTTGTTTTGACCAAGCAGACTTGTTGATAGTGGCAAGTGGCATTAGAAACAACAACAACCATAGCATCTGCAGATAATTTTTGATCTCAGATTACATAATTTTTAAAATTATAGTTTTTGTCTGACTGAGTTAGCAAACAAATTTTAATCTATGAAGATTATGCTGCTGATTGACCTGATAAATTCAGCTACTGGGATTATAGATTATAAAAAAGGAATGCAATGTTTCAAAGGAATGCAATGAATACAATTATAGTTTTTGTCTGACTGAGTTGAAATCGCAAACAAATTTTAATCTATGAAGATCATGCTGCTGATTGACTTGATAAATTCTGCTACTAGGATTATAGATTATACAAAAGGAATGCAATGTTTCGTGTAAGCAATTTTATTAATGACAATTTAAATGTTAACTTCTGTCTTGGTTAAAATACAGTACATCGATACTATCCACTTCTTCAGTTTCAAATTAAGCAGAAATTTTTTAAGGGTTACACCACATTACAGTGCTCATCTTAACATATTTCTGATAAAGTACGTGAGCAGAATTTTCTTATGAACATTTTGGAAACAGTTGACATAACTTAAATTCTGTTTAATAGTGAATTACTGCACTTTTTTTTTAAAGGAAAGTTGATTGCTTTTTTGCTACAAACCTTGTTAACCCCATTTCGTTATTATTCATTAAGAAAAGTAGCTCTCTGAGAGTTACTAAATTTTGTTTTATAATTTTATAAGTTACAAACTTTTAAAAACTGAAAATTTATTTTTCTGAAAAAAGAATCAATTCATTTTTAGTGTGAAGAAAAACTGGGCAGAATGAAGAGTAAAATTAGTAAAAATAAAGGAGTGCATCATCATGATTTTAAATCAAATGATTTCTTTAGACAGGTAATTATTTAATAATTTGTTAGTTGTATAAATTGCACGAGTTTGTTTCTCAGTTGTATTTTCTGACAAATATATAATTGAAGTAATTTCATACTTATTTTAATTTTATACTTGTAAACTTTATATCATACTTATGGTTTTCAAATTTTTAGGTAAATTATTTTTGGATTTTATTGCTGGAATTGGATTTAATACATATTTCTTCTAAATGATCTAAAAAATTGAAATTGACAGAGAGCTTATTGTAAACTTTTACTCCACATATGTAGCTTAAGTTCATCAAAAGTATCTATCAATTTTACTGTAAAAACATTCACTGTTAAAAAAGTTTTTAAAAAAGTAATTATAAGCTACTTTATTTAATGTGGGGCTAAAATTATTTCTACAAGTATAGTTTTTGACAAATAATTCAATAAAAAAATTTTATTGTTTAAAATGCTCATACCATTATTAATGAATTTTAAACAAATTCAGTACGAGAGCAAAGAAAAAAGTATTTTAATTATTTATAAAAATAATTCTATTGGATAAAGCGTAACCATTAATAATCGCTTATCCTTCTGATCTCCGTGTATTGAGAGTTTTAATATAAACATTTTTAAAATATAGTTATACAAGTCTCAGACAAAGTGCAATTGAGTGAAAATTATTTATGTTTTATTAATGTAAAGAGTAGTTTGCCACCTATTTGAAAGTTTAAAACATTTTAAAGACTTGTATTTTTCAATTTTAATCAAATTTTACAGATTTGAATCAAAATCTTGACAAATTAGCTATGATTAGGCAACAAAACTAGACTTTTTCTAATAGTTGACTTAGGGCCGTGCTTATTAAACAATTACCACACCACCTATGTCGACACTGTAGTTTGAAAAAAGACATGATGTATATATTTATAGCATATTTTTTGAAGTAAAAAATATACATTGTTTCACTAAGTGGATCCATAAAATCGTTAAGAAAATAAAATCTTGTCCATTAGGAATATGCAGCATTAACGCTAATAATTTACATTTTGTTAAAAATGCTCGCTGTTATTGCTAATGAAAATGAATCCATTTATTTAATTTTGACAGGCAATATTTTTGTCAACCGTAAATATAATTAATTTCAATAATTCATTTAATGTTACTGAACGAAAAAATTTTTGCACAAAAGTTAAATTATTTTTTGGCATTTAAGTTTTAAAGTATAAAAATTTTGCTTAATTTAATTAAAATATAGTTAGCTTAAAGAAATTCCAGTGTTTTATTATTTCTTTGACTTTTCTTTTTTTTTTAATTTTACCATATGAACATTTAGTTCATCATATGAATGAATTTAAAAATAAAACTTTTGGGCTCAGTCTTGGACTCTTAAAAAAATTAACAACAAATTAAAAAATCTTCATTATTTAAAATTCAAAAATATTTTTTCTTAACTTTTAAAAAAACGAAATATAATTTTTAATTTAATGGATTCCAATGAGTTACCTTTATGTGTATACACTTTTTTATTTTTTTACTTATTTCTTTAAACAAAAATTATAATGTTATAAATTTTTTTCAACTAATTGATTTATTACTCAAATTCCGAAAGTAAAAACAAAATGTTTAAAAATTTGGTTGTTTCAAAATGAACATAATTTAAATTCCATTTTATATGCAAACATTGAATTTCGATTTCTGGTTTGGTTTCTGGATATTTTTAACCTTCACTTCAGTGAATATTGTAATACTTTCATGCATTATAAAGTTTGAAGCATTAAAATTTAATGCATTTTAAATTGAAAAAATAATTGTTCTTACATTTTTTTAATGAAATTTATGGTTACTCTGAATTTTCAATTTTCGCAAAATATACTATAAAATTGTTACTTTTTTTGTTTTATACTTTTTACTTGTTGCATTTCCAAATCAAAACTTCTTATTCATTACTTTTGCTTAAAGTGTTTGTACTTTTACACATTACTTTTTAGAAGTAACATTCCCATGTATGATCTTAATAACTTTTTTACATTTTTTCTAAATTTTTTATCATTTTCAATAAATAAATATGTATTTAATCTATAAATCAAATGCTTATCTGCAGTGTAATTTTGATTTAGGTTCATATATCTAAGGTTAAAACAAATAGAATGATAATTATAATAATGAATATATAAAATAAATATATAAAATAATGACATATATAAAATAATGAATTTACTCCTTTTGATGGCTTATTTTTTTAAAAAAATTAAAAAATATAGAAATTAAAATTGCTTAAAAAACATTTGATTATTTAGAAGCAAATCTTTTAATGTTCAAGGAAAATTTAAGATTGAAATTTATTTACTGTTGTTCTCTTACAGTAAAATAGTTTTCTAATCTTCTATTTTTAATTGTTTAATACTATTTTTTAAATGTTTAAAAATATTTACTAAGCATTTTTAGGTAGTTAATTCAACATAGCGAACCTTTAAAATGTCAAAATTGAAAAAAATATAATTTTTTAATCGATTTAAAAGTACTGTGTTTTTTAAAATTGTGTGAAAATGTCATATTTTTCTAATACTCTCAATTATGATTGAGAGATAGCTTTATATACATTGCGTTGCGAATTAAGAATATTCTTGTAGAATAAGAATATTCTCCAACCCAAGAGAACTAGAGAAAGTTAAAGAATTTTATTTTAAATCTTTTGAATTTTTGGCCTAATGGTGTTGTTTAAATGTATTATAATAAACATATAAGAGCATTCAAAGTAAATACTTTTTGCTGATTATTTTTTTATTTCTTTTATTTTGATTTGATTATTTTTAAATTCATGTAAGTATTAAAGTACTTTTCTTTTTTTTCGCTCAGTTTTCTTAAAGGTTAATTTTTCAGACTAAACTTTAATTTTATTACTGAAATTCAGCACAAATCAAAATAAATTGAAATATTTTGATTCCTCGTTTTATGTACATTTGCAAAAAAAATTTAAAATATCAAAACATTTAAATTTTTTAACAAAGATAACATAAAGATAACATAAAAAAAGTTTATCTTTTCCACTGAGAAATGTTCAAAATAAATATGTTTAGAAAATCTATCCTCCTATTATTTTTTTGTACATTTTTTTTTCAAATTACATTTTTGTGAATAAAAATTATTAATTTAATTACTAAGTTACATATTAATATTTTATGATTAAACTTTGTTTTTTAAAAATTTATTATATTTATATTAAATTGGAGATTTTTTTTTTACTTGCAAATAATTTTCTTTAAACATCAATAAACCCCGTACTAATCTTATAGAAATGAATTTTCAGTTATATTGGCAAAAAATTTTATATGTTGTAGTTCAAAACATTCTGATCATAAAATCTATTGTTTCCGAGATACCAAGCCAGAGAGAGAAACATGAGATATAGACAATGATCACTGTGATGAAAGGTGCTTGAAGCACGCTACATTGTATTCAGATTAAAATTAAAGAGGTAATGCTATTGATTTAGCATTGGGCATTCTGGCGTGCTATCAGTTTGTCCATTACTTATCTAACTTTCAATGCTTATTTAAAAGTTCATTATTAACTTTTTTTTTTAATTTTCTTTATTGATGTCAATGATGATGACTCAGGGGACAGAGCATTCATCCATGAAACGCAAATGTGGGTTAGTTCCATCAAAAAGTCCTTCACAAAAGCAAAATTCTCCCAATACTTGATCCAGGAGTTCCCTTGTCTTCTGGATTGGGTTCAAAACTATAAGACTACAGAGTTGAACATTAGTAGTCCTAAACCCAAAAATTGGGTTGGCTGTTGAGCGTTCGTTATAAATAAAATAATAATGAGATGTAATTACAGAATTACTATTTATGGTTTTAGGCTTTGTATCTCAAAAACTATAAATTTTATTATTTTGTGTCATTGAAAACTTTTAATCAGAATGCTTTGAACTGCAACACATTAAATATTAAGTCGATTTGACAGAGAATTAATTTTCCTAAGATTTGATCAGGGTTTTTTGCCTTGTATCTTGCCCGTAACATCCTAAAAGGTAAAAACTGATAATTATTTAGGTATTATAAATATGAATATTGTTGTTCTGATTATGTAATATTTTTTGTAATGAGCATTGCATATATTTTTATAATATCTAAAAATATTCTAAATTATAATTTTCATTTTAGAATGTTTAACTTAAGTTGTATTGATATGAATTTGACAAAAATTGCATTGATATTATTAAACATGTCTATTATAATTGTACAGAAAAAAGTTATTATATGCACACAAAAGAAAACGCTCTGATCGATTTTAAAAAGTGCAAAATTAACATTTGATGTTTACTATATTAAACTCTGGGAAGATAAAAATAAAGCTGATTTGGTATAATTTCAAAGTATTAATGAAATAGAAAGTGTTTCCAATGAAGACAACTTTTAATCTTTTGTAAATGAAGGTTATTTTTGTTTGAGTTCATACAAAATCCTTAGTATGTAAAAAAAATTTCTAGAAGCATTTAAAAATAAAATTTAGTTTTTCTTGCTTAATTTATATCTATTTCAAAATTCATTTTAAGACATATAATTTATTTAAGAAAGCTTTTTTAATAAAATGTAAAGATTTCTAATCCCTAATATATAAGTTTCTAATATGAAAAAATTTCTTTCACAACTTTCAAGAAGAAGTTCTTGACAATTCTGGAAAAGAATACTCTCAAGAATATTTTCCTGGCAATTTTGCAACACTAAGCATATATTTGAATGTTGCTAAAAAAAGAAATATTTAAGTAAAAAAAGCACAAGTACATAAATTAACATAGCAATTCTTTATTTCCCTTGATTTTTTTAATCTTTTCTAAGTATAAAATTGCTTTTAAATTAAATAATATTAATAAAAATGAACAATTGTCACAATTACAGTAATTGAAGTAAATGTTTTATTCTATGACTGATAATTTAATCTTTTATTAGAAATACATGGAGAAGGAAAAAGAAGCCAAAGAAGAATCAATGAAATTGAAAAAAGAAATCAACGATTTAAAAGGAGAAGTTGCTTCATTGAAATCTAATAGCATATTAAGTTTTCAGCAGGAAAACATGAGAGAACAATTTCATGTAACAGAAAAACCGAGCCATTGCAGTGAAGAAAATCACCCTACTAAAAGAATAAAAATTAACGGAGAAAGCCCACACAACGATACAACAAATGGCTCTCACAATGACTTTAATATGTGTAATTTCACTAATAATAATACCGAAAAGCAACCCACTGCAACTACACTATTTAAGAAAAAATTATTTAATCTTGATATGAATTATTTCAATAAATAAAAAGATTTATCTAAAAGTAAAAGATTCATTTATTAAAAGCGAAATTAAGTTTTATCACGTTTTTTTTTTGTTGCAGTAAATCCAGTTTAGTACAAAGTGAATATATGAAGTAATCATTGGTTATAGATTTACAAGGAAAGGAATAATATCGGTGAATTATACTCGGTGATAAAAAAAATTTCCTGGGGAAGGTAGAATCAGAATGTTGATCAAAAACTGTAAAATCAAATTTTTAATTAACCATCGTCTTTTATCAACTACAAATTTTTGCTATCAGTAAACTCAGAAATCTTTGTGCAAACATAAGCATTGATTTTTAGTAATCTGAATAATAAAACCCAATTTCATTTTATGAACAAAATATTTTTATCAGTTATCTAGAAATGCAGTTACTCAAATTAAGTACAGCCATAACCGATTTCTATTGTATACTTAAAAAGTGATAAAGCACTCCAGGGGCGCTGTCGGTTAAGGAGTCACTTACACCGCTGTTTGGAGAGCTGGGGGAAGTAAGTTCGATCCTGGTGGCGACGGCTAAACGACCGGCGTGTATACACAGCAAGGTGCATGTTAAATCTGTTGGCTAAAATTCCTCCAAATAGTTATAGCGAGGAAATTTTTAGAGGGGAAGGAGTCCATGTCGTTCGCCCAGCAACATTCCTACCATGGCTGTTAAAAGATTAAGCCCTAAAAATGGAAATAGGTGCTTGGTCATGGCTGGGTGGTTTGTGATTCATAGAAATAATTATATTCTCTTCCACTGTTATTTTATTATATGGATACTTGCGAGATCTAGTGTTTACTTAAAATAATAACTTACTTCTTAGAACAATAGAATGGATTAGAAATAACAGAACTCCCACGGGTTAGGGAAAAACTGGAATTTTCAGGAAATTTTATTTTAACACCAAAAAGCAGGGGAAGTTGCATTTTTTTTTACAAAAAAAACTGGAAAATTCCTATATTATATCTCGAAAACAGCCAGTCAAATATTGTTAGCAACAGTAATCAGTTTTTGATATTAGAGTTAAATAGTTCTAACTTCGATTGCAATTATTTTATAAAATTCCACTTTTAAGTGAAACTTTTTCGTTTCTATTCTCATTCTATAATATGTTTTTGCCGACAAAATCTAATATTTGACATTATAAGTTTTAAAAAAATCAAATTTTGTTGACGAAAAATTGCATGATATAGATAAAATATGGTATACATTTCTATTGAAATGTACATAAAATACATGGAAAGGTCAGGATTTTTTTTCTTTTTTTTGAAATTGAGTAGGAACCCTGAAATAAATATTTTTATCTTAATAAATGTAATTAAAAAACATATGACTTTAAGCATTTCACAAAAATTTTATAATGTGTTATTTTCCCAGCTCTAGTACCAGAAGGCCATTTTAGAACTATGATTTAAAAAAAAAAATATTGATTCTCATTATATCAATTAATAAAACAAGACACAATCAAATGTAAAAGTTTCTTTTATTGGAAAGTGAAAATGTATGATACAGCTTTGACCTATTTGATGTTATGTATATTTGAAATATGTGATAGAGGTGGATGGAAATATAATATTTTGTGTCAAAGTTTTTATGGTAAATTTTTAAATTTGAAGCACATGTTACGTTTAAAAATTATTTTCTAGCATATGACATTCAATTAATGTATTTACAAAATGCAAGATAGCAGTATTAACAGCTAAAAGTAAAGACATTGTCACATGTGGAAGAAGTAAAATGATTTAGGTCAGCAAGTATGTATGATAAAAAAAATTCTGATTGTGGCATTTGGTAACATCCAACTATAAACTTCATCGAGTTGGTGGTCATGAGTCCAAAGATAACAGGAAAAAACAGTTTCTATCAATCACCTAATGTCAAACAGCCACAGGTGCAGTTTCTTTCTTTTCATACTCATCAATGTACCATTGTTGATTGATGTGTATGAACTTGACTAGTAATTGATACAAAGTATCGTGTGATTTTGCTTCCACATAGATAGCAACAAAGAAGGCCACAAAAAACAACACTCCACACACTAAGTTCCCAATTTCTGAGTGAGTGAGTTCTGTTCTTTCGAGGTCTACCTTGGTCCCTTTGTCGTGCTTAAAAAAGAGGACAGTCAGTGATGCGCACGCAACCATTAAAAGAACAGAGAATATAAAAAGTAGATGTAATATTTTATCCTTTCTGGAACAGCGTGGAAATTGCCAATGTCGTATCTAAAACGGAAAAAAAAAGATCAATGAATAAAAATCAAACATTTATATTAACTTTTACATAATTGAGGAGTTGAGTGAATGAAGGTCATAAGTAATATTTTATTTAATAAATTTGAGTAAATATGTATGCAAGGGTTTGTCCAGATATTTTGTGAAAGGTCCAGTTTTTGCGAAATTGTCAAAAAATTACTCACATTCTTTCAACCAGGGTACAGCTTTTATGAATTTGTGCAAATAGGGTCCGGTTATTGCAAAAAACTTTTTCAAGGAGTTTTTAAATTGTAAATAGATACAAGTTTATGCTCAGCACTGTAAAATTATAATTAAAAAAAATTAAATTTTCAAAAATTAGTAATTGTTGCTTCTAAATTAGAGATGCAACATACAAACATTTGGTATTTAGCCTATACTGCTGAATGCAGAATATTAATTTCAGACGAATAATGGAAGAATCCTCTGAAGAAGACAAAACTTAATTCGTTTACATATATCTTTCTCGTTTTCTACCCTGGGAAGGGTTTATTCAATTAGCAAAACAATAATGAAGGTAAAAAAATGAAAAATTAAAAGAAAAATCATTTTGTGAAGGTTCCGTTTTTAAGTTGAAATATTTTATGAAGGGTCCGTTTTTATGAAAAGATATTTTGTGAAGGGTCCGTTAACGGACCCAAATTTCTTCTAAACAGCTTTTTATGTTCACAATAAGGAAATATAAATAATGCCTTTATTTCTTATCCCTTAAACATCCGGCTGATAAATCTAAAAAATACTTAAGATTATCTCAAACGCTATAGACACAGCTGTTGGGTCTCTCAGAATTTAAATTTGTTGCTATAGAAGATTTTAAGTTACCGTACATCTCTGTGTATAAGTTGACCTGCTATTCTTGAATATGAGATAGCAAATTTTTGGTATTTTGAGTGTATAAGTCAACCACTGTTCATAAGTTGATTTCTATTGCTCTAGACATTATGTGTTAAATGGTACTAAATGCATGGTGAAAGGGACATTTAAATATTATTGTAAAGTATTTTAAAAAATGTGGAATTACGAATTTTTTGGATGGGGATGATGATTATTTTTTGTAGGACTCAGCAGATAAAGATGAATCCATCCTAGAGTGGGGATCTGCATGACAACACTGCTAACGCTAATGAATCTGACACGGATGATGTTCAGGAATGTTTAAATTAGGAGATATATAGTATGTTTACAAATTTTCATTGTGCTATATTTTTTGAAACACTCTTGAATAAATTATGCTATTTTTTCTTAATCTTAATTTTTCTTTGAATATAATTCAAAGTATTGCTTCTAAAAAGCATTTATGTGATGAGAGACTTTTCTATAAGAATTGCATATAACATATTAAAAAATTATTTTTGAAAAGGGTAAATTGATACAGAGTAATTCATATCTATTTCATTGTTTATAATGCATCTATATTTCAGGATCAACTTTATTACTAGTGTATAAGTTGACCCCGTCTTTTCGTAAAAATTTTTGGGGTTTGAAAAGTCGGCTTATACACCTATATACGATGATGTGATGAGACAAAATTCCTTACGAGTAAACAAGGCAAGAGGATCAAAAGGCACTGGCAAATGTTGTAAAATAAACCAACTGTGAATTTCTAATGTTAGGAAGAGTCACTTTTCCCTTAAATAAATCTTTTGATATATAAAAAGCTTATTAAAGTTTATGTTGGATCAGTGTGGTCTCTTTATCTTCAGTGCCATAGAAATCAAATTAAATGTTGAATTTCTGAAATACATAATTAAAATTTTAGGTGAGTTGTTACTTTGTCAAGAAAAAAGGATTTTTTTTATTGATAAACAGGGATTCATTGTTTTAATGTGAGGACTAAGAGTGTGCACATAAACGAAATTATAGATGATTCGAAAATTGCTATGATCTAATCTGTTCATGATGTCACTCTCTGCATCTTGAAAACTGCTTTAAAAAGCATGCAGGGGCAGATTAAGCATACACGGGGCCCTAGGCCATTCAAATTTTTGGGGCCCTTAAGATTAAATCTTTTTCTCGTATATTTTTTATTAGTTCAAATATAAAAGTAGTTATATATCTTTCCATTTAAAAAAGCATATTTAAAATAAAATAAATAATAATAAATTAAATTTTACTTTATTTTATTAAATTAGAACTAAAAAATAATCATAATATTTTGAAAAATCATTGTTTTTCTTAATTTATTTTCAAAAAATCCATTTTAAGGGGGCCCCTAATTATTGGGGGCCATGTCCTAGTCTGACCTAATGGGTAATCCGGCCCTGAAGGCATGCCTAAAGTAATGTAGTTTTGCCTAGAGAAATTTGTACATTATACGTCAAGTTCAAAAATTTTTTCTATATTATGTGAAAAGTGCTATTAACCATTAGACTAAAAACAATTGTCATTTTTGTACAATATATTGATGAATCCACAGTACTGAAGAAACTTTTAAGAAATGTTGTAGAAAAAAAAAGTCAGAGTTTTCCTTTGTTTTAACACCATGTGCCAACAAACTATTAATGTGTAATCAAGATACATTAGGTAAAAAATAAACAACTGATTAAATCTACTTACTTTAAATTTTTTATGCCAATGATATTGATACTGACAAAGCTCACAACTGGCTGGTCTACGACCTCTTTTATGGCAGACTTCTAACCATCTCTGAAATAGAAGAGTGAAAAATGAAGTTCCATAATTTTAATAATAAAGATTAAAGCCAACTTCAAAATTCACAAATCAATATAATTCGATAGTGAAATTTATTTTTGATTTTCAACATTGGTTTTGATCTTAATTATCTTCTTCACAAAGTTTTTATTCTTAACACATGTTTTAATATTACATTACAAATAATTTGTAATTTTGAAAATCAACACATCATTGCATAATTGAAATTGAATAATATGAACTGAAATTGAATAATATGAACAAACTAAAGGGCTATCTAGAGAGACCGACCACTCATTTGTTTGGCTGGACAGCGTTGAAAAAGAATGCCTAGTGATCGGCGATGAAAGATGGCGAAAACTTATTGTGACGTGCTTGGTCTGTCCCAGGCTGTAGTGTTAAGAAGAAGAAAGGGCTATTGAAATATTTAGCTAAAATTAATTATTCCTTATTATTATTACTTATTCAATTATTTGCCATTTGGTTAGTTGATAGTTATTTGAATCATTCACTATTTGAATAGAACAATCCCTACATAGTCCTATATTGTTTAACATTTGTAGGCGAAAATATAATTTAAATATGAATGTCATGTATATTTTATATTGAATTATACGAGGAACACATATTAACAAAAAGAATTCAATGCAACAAAATAGTTCAAACTACAATTTACCATCTAAAATTTTTAGCAAATTTATAAGGTCGTAAGCGCTTATTTTCTGTTATTCCACTATTATATTTTTGTTTAATTTTACAAGACTTCACTAAATTTTCTAAATCCAAATAAATCCATTTCTGATTTTTTTTTCTAAATTTTACTTAAAATATTTTTACAAAAAAGCATTAAATTAATTTAAAACTAGTTAAAATGCATTTTTTATCATCAAACTTTTGAAAGGTTTTTATGCTAAAGAGTTTTTTCGTTATTTTTTATATTCATTTTTGTAATGTAATATAAATAAATCCAACTACTAATTATTTATAGTTAGTTAAAAACTAAATATTTTAAAAATTATATATTTAGTATGCATTTTTAATAACTAAAATTGAAAAATATTTAATGCTTTTGTATGACATAAAATGTTAAATGGACAAGCAAACTAACTTGCGTTGCTATGATGCTTATAGATTTCCTTTCAAGTTTTATTGTTCTAATTTAATTATGATGCCATTTGAATAAATAAAATAATTTTTTTCTATAATATTATAACTATTGCTTTATCAGTTACTCGTTTTTTATATTTTATTAAAAATGTTTTATAATTAAATTATATGATGCAATTAACAGGGTATCTGCTACATTTTAGATTTTCAAATTCATGACTAATTCCAATAATTTTTTATGACTTAACGAAGTTACTATTTTCTCTGACAGAAACACAATAAATTTATAAAAGCATTATACAGTGAATTCGCGATAACTCGAATGTGATAGGACTGACGAAAAACTTTGACACATCGGAAGTTCGACTTACCGTTAGTTTCGGTTTTGGACTTTCAAAATATTGTCTGATTATTTAATTAATGCTTATTAATTACAAATCTTCTAATTGCTTACAATATTTAAGATAATTTTTCTGACAAGTCATTTAGGATAAGACTGTTTGAAGCACTTTATGATACCCTGGTCCATCGGCTGCAACTTTGCTGTTGTGTTTGGCGGGAGAAACTGCAAGTTTACTGCTTTCAAATTAGGAAGATCACTATGTGCTGTGCATTTATCCATAAAGAGTATCACTTTTCTTTTTTGTGTGAAGAATTTCCGATCCAATTTTCTTACATAGTCTTCAAATAAAACTAATGTCATCCAAAACTTTTTGTAATCCAAAGGATACGTTTTTACATTCTTGAAACATCGGGGATTTCGGTATTTCCGATAACAAGTAAGGGCAATTTCTCTGTCCCAGACGCATTTCCTCCAACTAGGACAGTCAAACGTTCCTTGCTCATTTTACCCCCCCGAGCAGTTTTCATCCATAAACATCATAGTCTTATTTGGAAGACATTTAAAAAATAAACCCATTTCATCAATATTCAAAACATCATTTTAACTGTATCCTTGAAGTAAATTTGGTAACGTTTCATTCAACCACTGTTCACATACTTCAAGAGGGACAGCCTTAGCTTTTTCATGAAGAGTGCGAAAGACATTGTGTGTGTGTTGCAAAGGAAGGGGCAAGATATCAGCTCCTAGGTTTTTTTTCTTTCTTTAAAAGATCAAAAAAAAATCGAGTTAAAGGGAGTAAAATTCGGTTAATCGAGAATAATTAACAAGAAATTGAAGATGAAAGGGTCGAGACCTCATAAAAAAAATCGAGTTATAGTAATATTCGAGTTATCGTACTTCGAGTTATAGCGAATTGACTGTAATAACACTAATTGAAATGATAGGTATAACCAAAACTGTTATACTCTGCATCTTCATATTTATAGATTATAAATTTGAAAAACAGAGTAAAGAAAGTTGAAGCAATAAAATAGCTGAAAAAAATACAAAAGCAAATAATTTTTCTTCTTCTTTCTTTCTGCAGAATTATATTCGAAAGCTACTTTTCTTGTTCATCAGAAAGGAAAGAAACACTCCTGATTTTCTGTTCTCATTTTCGAATAAAAAAAACTTGCCAATGACTGAAGGGAAGGATTGATTTTTCGTAGACCTAAATCTAAATCCATGACTTTCCATAATTTTTTTTAAAAAATAGTTAAAATCATGACATTTCATGACAAATTTTGTTCAATACCGAAATTTATGATTTTCCAGGTGTGCAGATACCCTGAATTAATGTATAATTTATTAATAATTACTTTTCACTCTATCAACTTCACGGAATTGCGTAATCTTATTGGGAGAAAATATTTCAATGTATTTAAATAAAAAAAGAAAGAACGTGACAATTTTAAGATAGAGATTTGTTTTTCGTAAGAAATTTTTCTATGAATAAAATATTCACTAAGAGAAAAAAAAAGATTAATTCTCCCACCTCCTAATTGCCTATATTTTATTTGTCTACCTCCTAATTGCCTATATTTTATTTGTCTATGTCAATTGATCTTATTATGTTTAAACTTTGATAATAAAAATAATGAAAAAAAGTAAGATAAATAAAAGTTGCTTGATAAAATAGTGATAGCTTTTGAATTAATTTTTAATCTTAAATCAGAAATAATTTTATTCTTTTAATCAACATTTTTTTCTGATACTTAGTACTTTAAGTAATATTAAACTTTCAATCCTGATTATACACAATTTACTGTTTTAAATTTCATAATAAATTTTTTTTACCGAGATAAGTAAAGGTACTTTACCTTTACTTTAGTTATTTGTCTTCTCACCTCACTTCCGACTTTGACATAATCATGAATTTCATTTTGATTTCACCAATCTCAAAACCTATCTCATCTGCTTTTCCTATAAGATCTTTATTAGTCGTATAATAAATTTAAAAAATTCAGAAAATGAATTTTTTTAAAAATTTTATTGAATGAAGCTGCTTAAACTTGAATTAGATATTGCCTGGCTTTGCAATTTATTTTTCAACTTTGTAATTAATGATGTTTTAAATTAAGGTACTTCTTAATTTATGTATGCATTTGTGATAAATATTATGTGGTTCATGTAATCTGGTATTGAATTATCTTGAATAATTTTATCGATTCAAACATTTCTATTAATATATCTATACACAGATTTGCTTCGATTATTAGTATTAGTTGTAGTTTTTTTAATATATTTTATTTGTGAATTGTGGTCCTGAGGCCAAAAAGTTGGAAGACCCTTGATTAAGACCTTAAATTGTGTGCAAGTTAAAATTACTTGTTTTACTTACCATTAAGCAACCACAGTGAATGTATTGCATAGTCCCAGAACATCTGCAAGGTGAAATCAGAGGATCATTTTCCCTAGCTGTCATATGGCAAATCTTACAAATAGGTGATCCATTATCTCCATAGCTACTGGCAATACTGAGTTGAGCTGCAGATGGTGACATGGGGATTACTTTTCCTAAAGTTATATCAGGCAGTTCAAATGGATCATCTATTGCTTTTGTTTTAGGTTCAATAATATTAGGCACATCATTAATTTTAGGTACCATAGGGTCTTGTGCGTCTTCAGCATCACTTGAAGATTCAGACTCAAACACGGCAAAATTAACTGTCGGTGTTAAACTGTAACTTCTACTCCGAAACTCACTGTCTAAGTTGCTAGCACCAGTATCCCAATTGATGCTGCTTGGTCGTTGTAATCCAGATGGACCGGCAATCGGGTCACCGTTACTTAAAAATAAAGGTTTCGAATACGAGTTACATCCATTATCGTGAGCTCCGAGGATATTTGTACTTTGATTCTGAATGTAATTGTAACTGGGTGGAAATAGGCCACGTTTACATACAGATGTAATTCCACCGTCACAAGGGTCTGGTTCACTATCAGCACTTTTGCATTTCTGGTTTAGTAACCATTTCTTTTTAGGTTTGCTTAAATAATTACTTTCCCTTAAGGCTGGAGGTTGTGTATCCTCGAAATTGTTTGTGTTGTCAAAATAGCCACAACATTGCATTGATTCTGGATATGGTGCAGGTATGAATGATACTGGTTGCTGAAATAAGTTGAGAGACTGAAAATTATGGTACAATGGAAAATTATCACAGTTAGTAGCTTTCTCCCTTCCTTCAGACACTGAACACGAATTTAAATCACGAGAGTTGTATTCCACCATTTCAGACATATTTCCATTATATCTTAAATCTTGATTCATGCTTGGATCCCAAAGCTGAGATGATGGATCATAATATCCACTACATACTTCATTAACTAGCATTGGGGATTGTTCTGTGTCGTCATCAGAATCTATAGATTCTGCATAGCCGTGTTGGCTTTCAGGAATATTTGGTATGAAAGACATATTTTGTTCTAAGTTATATTCTGAGCGATCATTTGGAAGAAAACTATAGGTATCACAGGATCTGCTAGAAGTTTGAGGATGCATGCGAAGATTAGGTGCCACTACATAGTCCCTGGCATGACTGTTGTAACCAGGGTCAAGATTAGGAGCCATAGAATTGAGCTGTTGAGAGCTGGCTATTTCACTTGAGGCTTCTGGGCAATCATGACTAGTAACTGAGGCAGATGTTGTTCTTTCGGAATTTCCATCTTGAGAACCTGCTCCTGATGGTTTAGCCATTCCACCTGATTTATGTTTGCACATAGTCTAAAAAATTAAAAATATTTAAACATCATCGCCAACTAATTATTATATGTTGCAAAAAAAAGTGGGAAAAAGTATTATTTAGGGAAGATTTCCGTATTGGTATCTACTCTAAATTTTGAATTAAGCTAAAAGAAAGAGAAACTATAATAAAAAAAAATTAAGAAGTGGAACAACTTGAAGAATATAACTCGTAGGCAAACTTAATTTATTTTTCTACTTCATGCAGCCACACATTTTTTACAATTATATCATTGCATTTGACTTTATTTATAATAATCAGTATGGAATTTTTTGCATAAATAAAAATATTGTTTTAAAAATGTATGGTTTTCAAACAAATTTCACCAAAATAGGTGGAATATATACATGACTAATTTCACGAAATTTCATTGAAACTAATTACAAGAGTTAATTAATATTGCAATCCTCAATAGTTGATTATAATTGCTTGCAGAAAGTTTTTTATTTTATCTAAGTCCTTTCCATCCTTCCTTTCAACATTTGAAAGGAAATTTCTTTCTTTTAAAAGTTCAAATCCCTCTAAAGTTGAAAATCTAATTTTAAAAAAAAAGACAATTGAATTAAATCCCATTTAATTCTTTTGAAAGAGAGGAAAATAGGAAAGATAATTTCCAAGCATAAATTTTTGTACCACATTAATGAAAAATAATTCACAGTATAAAAATATAAAATCTAAAGAATTCTGTAAAAAGTGAAAATTGTTTTCCTTAGGTATGAATACCAAAGAATCTTAAATAAAGTGAAAAAAATAAATAAATAGAAAATATATAAATAGAAAATATATAAATAGCAAAAACATATAAAAAGAAAAAAAAAAATTGAAAAAAAAAATTGAAAGAAATAAGAAAGAAGTTTTGTAATTTAAATACTACTAAGTGAACTACAGGCAACTAATCAGGTTGGAAAAAAAATGTCATGTAAATGAATTTATTATACAGTGTAGAAAAACAAATGAAAGTTCAGTGACTTACAGTCTAAACAACACTATTGAACAGGCAACAAATCAGGTTGCAGAAAATGTCATGTAAATGAGTTTATTATCCTCCAGATGTGTAGACAGTTCTTGACACCATTCATATCCAAGATTTCTGAAAATAAAATAAATTAAAAATTGTCATCATAAATTTTTTAATAAATTTAAAAAGTGGGAAGTTAGAGAAAAATTGATTAAAATGAAGTTTTTTTTGCTACAAAATAAAAAAAATCTTTCTCTTTACTCTTAATTTTTGTCTTTTTTTAAACTATTTCGAAAATTAATTTAAAACTACTGATTTCCTTAAATTTAAATTGAGAATCTCTTTCACAGTCAGCTTCTTCAATGCTTCAAAATAAATTCTTAAAATATTAAATTATACAATTAATAATTACAGATAGATAAGATACAGATGATAAGGATATAATTTGTATTTATAGTTTAATAAAATATTAAATTTCTTTTAATTGAAAACTTGAAATGTAAATTAAGTTGCAGTATTTAATTCAATTTCCTACTGCAGTTATCTTTGCCTTGTACTAATAAAAAATTTCATTGAAAATTGGCAATTGATCAATCTAGTTTTAAAAAAAAATTAAAGAATAAATTTCAATAAAAATATACACTATAGTTATTTAATAACTACCTAAAAAGTTACTTATATTTGAAAATATTTAAAATTTTATACTTGAATATGGTTTGCAGGATAACGTGTGATTAAAAAATAAAACTTTCATAAAATATAGCTATAGGACAATTTCATATTTTTTTCTTTATAAAAATATCTACTTTGTTTACATTGAAAAGAATGGGATCAATTTTAAACAAACAAAAGAAAATCAACAAAAATTAACTGTGATAAATAAATTATAAAATCTTCGTATACTAGATTATACTCTTTTCACTTTCTTCACACTATATAATAAATGACTGGACATAACTACCGTTAAGAATGTAAACAAAATAAAAGGAAACTTCCTATTTCTACCTTCCATTTAAATGAAGGACAGGCCACGGAGTTGCGCTTTTCTGTCAAAGCGAAAACGAAACAACTTCCGAAAAATTATAAAACTAAGAATCATTATAAAATAGAGTGACCAAATTAATTATAGAACATCAATGAGCACTTAGATATCAGCAAACCATTTTAAAATTATAACTTTTTCATATTTTTTAACGATAATAAGAATAACGCAACGCAATACACGCACTGCGGCAGTGTATGTCCTTATCTTAAGATAAAAATAACGTCCGAAGAAAAAAAACATACAACCCTAATAAAATAATAACTTAAACCGAAAATGAGAAATATTTTTTTTAATTTATTAATAAAAAACTTGTTTATAAATAAGCTTATAAAAAGAAAAACACAAATACACACCATTTTCTATATAAAAATAAACTAAATTATCAATAAATAGATTAACACTCACCTTAATAACTTATCGGTTGGTGGTGATTTTATCTTTACTTAAACCAATGTCGTTTGAGGAAAGGCATAAAAAACTATTTGAGGTTTTCAAATATATTTCTTTTTATCTAAAACAAAGAATTAGCAGACGATTTCTACTATCAACTGCCCTATCCTCTCGTACGCACAGCTGGAAGGTATAAAGTAATGCTACTAGACCCTGACAACAAGCAAGATTTTGACGAAATGTGGCCATCGACCAATCATAGCACAGCTCGGCTGTGAACGGTTCTTACGTCTTTCCCCCCATTGCCGTTGTTATGAGTAGAACCAGCCAGCTTGGTAACAACTTTTCCACGGGAGGGTTTATAAAGGTCTATAACAGGAGTCAATGAATTAATTCTTAAATTTTAATTACGAATTTTCTTTTAGTAGGAATATTTCTTCTAGATTATGGATCGAATCTTTTTTTGTGATTCATCGCATTCCAAGCTTAAATAATTTTTTTGCATTTTCTGTTTATCGTTTGCTTAGAGTGATTAGTATTATTTATTCCTTTGTTTACGTCTTGAAAAGAAGATTTCTAGCGTAACTTTTTGCCAAGAGTCTTCTTTGCTGTGAGTCACTGGGTGCTAGTCGGGGAGGGTATAATATAGCATAGTTCAACATCCTCATAACTGGATTTTTTTTAAAAATTATATATAAGTACGTTATAATTAATCAATTTTATAAAAAATTCACACAACTCGTATAGAATACTGTTTTCTTAGTTTGTTATTTTAGAATATACTAATTAAAATTTTAAAAAAATTGTTCACTAAAATATTGAAGTTTAAAACATTGCATAGTTCAGAAGTTTTTTAACGTGTAAGTTCATAAATGTCAATCAATTTTAAATATTCATATAATCATTAAAAAAAAAAATTACATAAATTCGAGTGGTTATTTCCACTTTTTGACACTATATTATTGTTTATAATTTGCAAGCATATAATTTTTAAAATGTGAACATACGAGTATAAAATATTGCATATAAAATATAGTATGAGGTATTGCCCATTCTTCTAATTAGATAATTATTTTTTTTGAAATTTAGTTATTTCTTTGTTGATTTTTTTTCGTTCTTGCAAGTTTTTTATTATCTGTTGGGGAAATACGTGGGTACTGCTAGGAAGTCCACACACTTTGACTAGATCGACTAGAAACTCCATCGACAACATAATCACAAATAAAGAAGTGTAAAAGTTTAAAATTCGGGTTAGCATAAGCATTAATTAAAAGAAAGCGCAACATAATCAAGTGGGGAAAAAAGAAAAGCAAACGATAATTTTGGAATGTCTTGAGATAATTGTTTTTTTTTTTCACCAGTGTTCATTTTTAATGGTTTTACATGATTTTGATTTAAAATATTTTTATGTTCTCTTTATGATTGACTTATTCACAACTATTTATTGGCGGCAATTTCAATACATAATGAATACTGAAGAAGGAAAAGAATTCAGTAATGGCTGGAGTTGAAAACCAAACCAGCCCATTGGGAGGACACAATAAGACAATCATCATCAATTCATGCAGTTTTAGCAACCCATGACTTGAAAGGTTGTGGCGCTTATAAAAGTTTATACAGAAGAAGAATTTGCCTATAGGGTAACTAGTGATCGCAATATGCAATCTCAATTTTCTCTTTTTTGTGATTAATCTCATCATATTTATTACTATTGATTAACTTATATACATTTTTGTATTTAACCCTCTGTACTCCGAGTACTTAAAAATGCTGTTTGAACTAATATAAGCACAAATTTTTTTTAAATTATATAATGCAGAATTTTTTATATAATTTTTAATATTCTTAAAACATTGTGGTTACTAATTATCACGGTATAAAAAAAATATTTTTATAGTGGTGACTGACTGGCACCTCAGCGGCGACATCGGAGTGCTAAGGGATAAATTTATGGCAAACAAATTGCGTTCATTTTTTAGTCACCACGGAAAATAAAAATTCTTAATACAGTAAATTGTCAAAATTATATGTAAATATTCAAGAGAAAACTACAAATATTCGAAAATTAACACTTTCCAGTAATTAAAAATGATTGTTCCTTATATTTTATGGCCACTTATTTAAGTACTTTAATTTAAAACCAAACCAGAAAAAAAAAATTTGACTTATATATAAGTTATAGTATTTATTTTGGTAGTTGTGTAAAATTTTAGTTCAAGCTTATATTCCTTTATCCAAAATTCGTCATTCCATGCAAAAAAAANAAAAAAAAAAAAAAAAACTTTTAGTAAATATTTGTTATTTTATTTAATAATCGAAAAATTTCGAAATTGTAAGGTATACAAAATTTTGCATCATTTTAAAGAATGTATATATACATAGGTTTTTCTTTTTCTTTTTTTTTTTTTTTAAGAAAATTTTCTTTTAAAAAAAATTTGAGTTTAAAAAAAATCCTTTTCAAATATAATAACATTTGTCCATTAAATTTCGATTTATCATTTGATCATTTCTGGAAAAATTAATGCCTGAGATATTTTTTGACAAAAAGCTTTAATTTTTTGAAAAAGTCGCATCCTCTCCCCCCCCTTTTTTTATTTTTGTTGCTATAATTACTGAACTACATTTGGAAAATATAAGTAATTAAATCCGTAGTTTAAATACTTTCATTCATTCAGTTGATAAAAAATTAATTATTTCGTGGAAAATATTCAAATTTTTTCTTGCTTTGTAGGTGATCTTTCTCTTCAGTATTTTAAAATCTTAAAATTTCATTATTAGAGAATTTTTTCTTTACGTTAACGGTAACTTTAACGTAAGGATTTAAAATATTGAGACCAAGAAACGGTAACTTTAACGTAAGGATTTAAAAAATTGAGACCAAGAAACACCTAAATTGGTGTATAACCAACGAAATGTTTCTCCTCAGTGAAGTTACAGCTTCGGATTCTTAAGAAGATCCGGAGCGTTGGAAGGATGTATATATAAAAATAAAGTCAATGTTACTAAAAAAAAATCTTATTGCGAAACATACGTGTGAACTACATCTGATCTGGCGATTTTTTTACGTTTCTCTTAATCGAACCAGTAACATTTCTCCGTTAGTTTTGCTTTTAAGTATATAGCTTTTTATTATTTTTTTTAAATTCAATTAGTACCTATTAACGAGTTCTATTCCAATTTTAACATCTATTAGCTTTAATTTAAAAAGTTACACAATGAGCTAGTGAGTAAAAGGATATTTAAGTAGTTAATATTAATGTTTAACATAAAGTTTATTACCACATAACATATTACATGTTAATAAGAAATTATTTTTACGCAAACGTACATTTCTTACTTTTCATTCTAATATTATTCAGAAATCATATAAAAAATAATAAAATGAGAAGAAATAAAAAACGAACTGTAGTTAAAGTAAAATTGTAGAATTTGTAAAACTGTTCTTCCATATCAATGAAGATCCACTCTTACCTATTTCGTTGATCTGAAGTATATTTCTTACCGAAATTGGGATAATTTCAGCAAAAGTATTTTCTCTATTTATCGCTCTTTAATACCATTGTACCAATCACGTAACAATATTCAGTTGTTTGTAATTATTTCAAGTGTTATAAATTACCAAACTTATAAACATTAAAAGAATTGAAGACTTCTTACCACTTAAAGAATCTATATGGATTGTTCGTGGCAAATTTGTAAATTATTGTAAGAATTCAAGAGTCTTTTTACTTATCGAATCTATATGAATTTTACTTGACAAATATTTAAAGATTGAAAGAATTTGAGACTGCCTACAACTTATCGAAACTGTATGAATTTTTTTTTTGGACAATGCGTAAAATATTGAAAGAATTTGAGAGTGTCTACCACTTAAAGAATCCATATGGATTATTCTTGGTATATTTATTAAGTATTGAAATAATTCAAGAATCTACTTACAACTTATCGAATCTGTATGAATTTTTCTTGACAAATATGTTAAAGATTGAAAAAATTCTAGACTACCTACAAGTTTTCGGATCTATATGAATTTTTCCTAAAAAATATGTATAACATTAAAAGAATTCTAGAATGCTTAAAATTTATCGAATCTACATGATTTTTTCTTGGAAAATGTGTAAAATATTGAAATAATTTGAGAGTGCTTACAACTTATTGAATTCATATAAAGAAATTTTGAAAAATGTGCAAAATATTAATGGAATTCTTGACTTTCTACAACTTGTCGGATCTGTATGTTTTTTTTTTCCTTCCTGGAAAATATGTAAATTATGGAAAGAATTCGAGATTGCTTCCAACTAAACGAATCTATATAGATTGTTTTTGACAATTATGTTTGTATTAAAAGAATTCAAGGTTTCATTTTTACAACTCGTCATATTTCACGTTCTTCATAAAAACCAATAAATAAATTATAGATTATAAATATTAGTAAAAAGAACGAGCCAACATCCGTAGTACATACTCCTTTGAGTTACATAATCCGGATTCTTAACGTTTGTATTGCATACAGCATTTTCTTCGAAATAGAAAATTTTTTTATTCCACAAATAAGATATTCACATAAAAGCTACCATTTACGATGGCATAAAAACAAAAAGGGCGAAATACTGGATGCAGACGGACGCAAATATAGTGCACTTAACTTTTATAAGTGTAATCTGTCACTTTTTTCCGTGAAGAATTTTCTTCTCCGTGAGATCGTTTTTCAGAAAAATATTTCAGGAATTCAAAATGTGTCTCTTTTAGTCTGTTTTATATTTAAACACCAGTAAAATTTATTATTTATGATATAAAGCATGTCATATAAGTAATTGCAATTATGTGCTTAAAAGCGTTTACAATAGATCACTATAAACTATTAAAAATTTTGATACGGTTAGAAAATCGAATTTAAAAAATTTAAACCATAATATAGCGCGAATTTCTTCAATCTTAATATGAGGCTTAAAGTTTAACCACATAATCATACTTTTTAAACTTAATTTACAAGATATTATAGTTTAATTCGAAAAGCCGCGTGAATTAAATTAACACCTTATTTAGGTTGCAGCGAATTGGCTCCATATTATGGTTCATGGTGGACCTGAAAATAACCACTCGCTACATGGAGAGTTAACTGAAAAAATAAGTAGCGACTTAAATTAACTCAGCAACCGACCTCTTTTTTTATATAGTTTTTTTTCTTTGAAAATAGTTTAATAATAAAAGCACATCAATGCGGAAAACCGCTGGAAAACAGAATTTTCATTAAAATGTCCAATGTCCCCATTCAAAATTTTGATCCTTCAG